TTTTTGCTTAAAACTAGTGGAGAAACCCAGCTTTTTCTGAAGTTTTTTCTACACAAGTCTACCTTTTCAATTTAAAACTTCTATTCTTTACTAGGAAAATTTCCGTTGGTCTCCCTATTTCCCTAATAAAAATATGAGGTAAATCGGTCAAGGGGTTCCTGAGTTATGATCGAACAAACATCAGAGATATACATAGACAATATGTCCTACTTGAGTTTTTATATGGAGTACATAAAATAAGAGTGTCTCCGCTTTGTCACTTTTTATTTTTTGTCTCATGTTTTTTGAATGTTTTTTTTTTAGCTAGATACAGCGCATGAAAAATGTTTGCATTGGTTTGCTTTCTTTCAATGTATTTCAAAACAAATGTTGGCTAGATGGAAAATTTAGTAAAAGAAGAACGGGGAATTTTTAATTTTAATCATAAAAATGGTGAAATGTTGCATTCCACTGTAGATGTTTAAGTTTTTTCTTTAAAAATCGTCATTACTTTCTACGTGTCTGGGGTCTTTTCAGATTTCTCCTCTTATTGTTATTCTTATCTTCATTGTAGAATTTTCACTGTAACATACAATGAACATTTTGTACAATGTACTTGCCCTGAATATATGTTTCTGTTTACATGCCGAACTTTTAACTGTTATTTACTGGTGACATTATGGTGGAAAGGGGAGGGGGGTGGAGAGTTAAAGGCGGAAGGGTTCTCGATGGATAGGGGGGGGGGGATGGTGAAGATAAATGAGTTTTGTGATCGAACAAAGGATGTATGATTGAAAATAAAAATAAACCCAGATTTAAAAAAAACAAAAAAAAAATCCTTTTGAACGATAATTTCTTTTTTTTGGATTTCTTCTTTACCCTTCAACTGTTAATCTCTTGTTTTTCGTTTCCATTATGTTCCTTTTTTACAAGTTTTTCTTCTGTCCTGCTTCTTAATGCTGTTTTTTTTACTTGTGTTTGCTATAGCTGGCAAAACGGCTGGACCAAATTGGCTGATTTTTGTTATTAAGGTACACTGGGGATACATAGCTAAAAATGTTAAAATTTAATATCAAGCGCGGGTAATCGGCGTGGCGGGAGTAACTATGAGTAATAATATAAACCTTGGCAACGCTTGGTTCCCCAGCTAGTAAAATACAAATAGACTTTTTTTTTGTTGTAAATAAATATGGTGTCACATCAAAATATAATTACTTCCAAGCTCACAAAAATATTTTTTTTAAAATGAGAATAAGGAAAAATTTTGGGTTTTAACTAAATTAATTAGAAATAGGAGCTCCAATCTTCTATTTAAATTGTGGCTCTATCTGTTTCTGCGAGCATGTTCTCTTCGTAACAATAACAAAAAAGTTCGCGGATTTCCTCATATTTTTACGTGGATTTTTCAAAATTGTTTTGGAGACAAATTTTTGAAATTCTGAGCATCCATAAACCTTCTCAGTGTTGAAATTCCACAAAAAAGGTGGGTCCGATCGGTTCAGCCGTTTTGACGTTTATTTGATACAAACAAACACCAAACGACACGCAAAAAGTATAAATAGATTTCCGCGACGTGAAAAAAATTCCTCCCAAAACCTGTCCTAAAACTAAAATGTTTACCCCCTGCGGCCGGAGTTATTTGGCATTTTGTGTATATTGGTAATGGATTCCAGTAACTACTATATTTTGGTTTACTAAGTTTAGAAATTTGGCATTTTATAAATTTAATTTTAAAGGGACTGAAAACGTAATTTCAAGTGACCTTCCATGCAAAGATAGCAATGTATTAACACAGGTGCACCCTTGAAACCTTAATCTGATCAATAATAGATAGCGTCGTTTTACTGACTCAAGTGTTTCATCCCGATCATTTCTCAAGTTTTTCTGCATAGAAAGAGAAATCACAAATCAAAATAAACTGGTTTCAAAAGCTAAAACATGCTTGCCTCAACAAATATTTTAAGGGTACCGTTGTAAAACTGGTATTGTCATTTTTGCATGGAGGGTCACTTGAAATTACGCTTACAGTCCCTTTAAATTCAAATGTTTGTTTCCACTGTGCACTCTGTATCCCAGTGCAGAATAAAATTTAGGTTAAAATCTAATTAGCTGGGCCGGGTATACGAGGTATACACTCTACACTTTATACTTCCTGTTAATTTACCAGCTTTCTACAATTAAATTAATTGTAAAATCATTTCATTTTATTATAGGGTTATTCTTAGTCTTTATTATCATTGAACACGATTACAATTTCTAGAAGAAATGGTTTAATTTTTATTTTTCATTGTTTCATGCTTTTGGTTTTACTGTAACAACTGAATTGCAATTCTTTGTAGCCCTGAATATGAAGATTGAATTTTCCGCAATGATATTTGGCGTGATTAAGTGAAATGTTTAGAATTGGACAACAATATTTTTATCATTACTTTTAATTTGAATTTATCAAATTATCCAAATATGGAATCAAACCAACTAAACATTCAGTTGGAAATTCATGGAGCATTGCGCCACCTTCCTGGCCCATAAGGTTTTCTACATTTGAGGCTTAACATTTTTCTAATAAACAAAGAAAAGATAAATTATGAAAGCTTATTAATGTTCTAACTAGCTTGGGAACCCAGCTTTGCCCAGATTATTCATAGTTACTCCCACCGTTTACCAGCGCTTGGTCTTAAATTACGATTTTAGGTAGTTACTCATCTTAGAATCTCAAAACCATGCTAAGAACATTCCCGGTTTCCCCAATAAAAATATTGAGGCAAATCGGTTTAGGGGTTCCTGAGTTGGGATCAGACATCCAAAAAAACAAACTGAGAATATTTCTTTATATATAGATTCGGTGTTCTAAGGTAGAAATATAGTTTTCTAGACAAGACTGCCTTGAGAACCATTGGATTTAAAGATTTTAACTTAATCTTAAAACTCTCTCTATGCTACTTTATCTGATGAGCTGGGGGTATTAAGACCTGTCTCCCCCCCCCTACCCCCCATTCTTCTTCTCCCTTTCTCCTGGCGAAAGACATATCTAACTACGTCTGGATTAGCTGAAGGAATTAAGTATAATCTAGAAGGGATTCCACTACATATATACATATATATAAATATATATATAAAATATATTGTACGGAAAACCAAGAAATCTAGAATAGCATGAAGTAAAATAATCATCAATAAATGAGTTTATTTTTAAAGGAAAAAGCTGAATATTTTGAAAGTAGCTGAAAGTAGCTGAAAGTAGCTGCCCTTGATTTCATTATTTTAATGATTTGAGAGAAAATAGCCTCAAGACATTTTCCACCAACTTTAAAACAAAACTTTAACATTTTGGACACAGATTTTCATTTTAGAAAACTAGCGCATTTTTTACATTAAAATCTGCAAGTGCTTAATGTTCTTGTAATGTATTGTGTAATTTGAACCCAGAAACCCTGTTATCTTATTTTAAACAATAGTAGTTGAGTGTATATTCATAATGCATTTCTACAGATGTAATATTCTACTTGTAGTCTTTGTTTTCAACTCATGGCGCTTGGTGGAACAAAAAATAACGGAAATGGGTTTTTTAAAATCGCATCGTTTTATTTAAGTGTAGTTCGTTACTATGTACTAGTGTTCTGTAATTAGGGATGTTAACGTTTTCATTTTTCAGAAAAACGATCGTTTCGTTATGATAACGACGACGAAAAATCGAAAACGAAACGATCGTTTTTAAAAAAACGAGTGGGTCGTTTTTAAAAACGATCGTTTTTTTCTGAAAACGAAACGATCGTTTTTGAAAACGAAACAAAAAACGATCGTTTAACGATCGTCTACAAAAACGATTAACAACCCTATCTGTAATCTTATAAGTTTTTGTGTGTTATGACACATTCTTAGTCCTCTCAATTTTGATTTAACTGTTATCTCAAACAATAAAAAACTGGTTTTAAATTCCGTCATATTGTTTAATAAAACAGCATGAAGTAATCAAATAACTGTTAATAAAAGGACTGTAAGATGTATATTAAAAATGTGTAATGTGTATGCTCTATTTTACTAACGTACCCTTTGCAACTTTATAGCAATGTTAGCTTTTTTGTTTGGAATACTTTAAAGGCAATTTGCTTCTTTTGCTCTCCTACGTACATCTGAAAGTAACATTTACTGAGGAACCAAAAATACAAAGGAGTTGAGTCCTTGCCACAAATTCTGATTTTCTAATCTCTATATCTTTTGAACCCTTTGTCGTAAACCTTTGATATTTCAAACTTGTATTATTTGATCTAACAGAAGTCATAGTTTGAAATGTCAAATGTCTACACATTGGACTGCAAAGATATAGGAATTAGAAAATCAGAGTTTGTGACAAAGACTCGGTAGCGATCTTCAAAAAGAAAATGTTTTGGTCATTCAAAGGCTTCAGGGTAATGTGAATCGTGCATGATCCTCTTTAAATGTAGAGTCAATTTGAAATACGTTAATAGTCCCTTTTGTTAAGTTTGAAAAAGTTTGATATTTACCTTAAAACCTCAAAATACTTTTTTCAATTAACTAAATTAATCAGTTTAACAACTACAAATTAGCAAATAATTCACCTTATTGTAAACAATCCCCCTTCCCCCATTTGGTCAATTTGTTACATTTTTACGGAAAGGGGGAAAATAGTTTATCGAGGTGGAAGGAAAAGATATATCCATGAAATATTTATTATAGAATCTGAAAAAATCTAATTTTTACTCCACATATTTGTTGGTTGTGAACATTTTACTTCTTTTTGCTTAAATATGCAGAGAATGGATTTACCAATAAAATATTCAGAATGAGAAAATTTGCAAAAAAAGTCTACATTTAAGCAAATTTGACAGTCTTGCAAAATATTCCTGGGATTGAATTTTATGATTTTTTGGATGTTTTTATGTTTTCAATTCTCTTAATTCTCTTAACCTAGCTCCCATAGAAAATAAATGATTCAGTATTTATGGTGAAAACTTGACATATTGTGAAACCAGGAACTTCTAAAGGTTAAAGATTAAACTTGATTTTATTTTTCAGATCTAAGCATGAATGCATAAGTCTGTGTCCGGCAGTGCAAGAATTAGCCCGGGGAAGGATTATATCAAAACTTAGATTTGAAAAATCTGCATAACGATCCAACTTCAGTCTCAGATTAGACATTTTAACGATAGATTATTCTCATACTGCACCACCTGAACCTTTTACCTTTCTCTAGCCAGAAAGAAATTGAATAGTATTATCTTTTGTAGTGGGGTTGATATATGATTTATATATGAATTTGTGTGTTTGATGGAACCCCCAACTGAATGCCAGTAGACGCTCTTGTGCCTGACATCTACACTAGCACACACAATACTCACATACAAATACATAAAATACCTCAAATTCTTAAAATGGAAATTTATAAATCCAAGATGGCGACCAAGTGAGCTCTAAGTGAACATGGTGTGAGTATAAGTGAAAATATCTGTGTATAAGATTGATATAAAGATGTAGATAATGATAATGTTGAGGTGTTGCCAGAGATCTATACACCAGTAATGATCCTATCCATGATTGATTGATTGAATCTGCCAAGGGAACACCTTCTTTAGAATGTTTCACCAGGTAGTTTTATGTTCCGCACTCTTCCTTCTCCTACAAGTCGTCTTCCTTCCAACAGCTGCCGGATTTAATGAGGGTATGGCGTCCTGGCATGAAGGGGGGTCCAACTGGGATTGGACGCTGCGTCCCCCTGATCCTACAGAAGCGTCCCAGCTCACTGGACTCAATATTTGCACGAAGCAGGAAGCGTAAGTTGTTAAACAATTTTTTAATAATTAAAAAACAAAAAAGGTGGTACTAGTTATTATAGGCAAAGTTGTAAACCTTTTCCCCATTTTGTCTTCAGTATTTTCTTGGCCGTATTGTTCATTTTAAAAGAAAAAATGGCAAATTTCCAACATTATCGCTACAAGCTCTTTTTTGGGACACACTGCAGAGGAAGTCTGAGCTGTATTTTTAAATTCCAGATTTAGCTATATTCTGTTGCTGAGAATCTTCTGCTTTTCAGAACATTAATCATTTCCTTCTGAATTTTTAATATGTTTACTTAACTTGAATCTTTGCAATATTAACTTTTTCAATCTCAGATTTATTTCTTGGATAAATTAGAATTATTTTCCTCATTTCTACGAAGGGTTGCTATACAGGGTTACCTTCAAAAAAAAATTTGTTGTTTTTTTTCTTTCAAGAATAGTTCTCTAAATAGCTTTAAACCTTCTACTTTTGTAGACTTAGCTTAACCTTCAGAACGTCCAAAATCCAAATTGATGAGTTTCATGTCGTCATAAAAGTCGGTCATACTTTATTGGTAACCCTGAGTTCATTTATTTATTTAAAACAATTTCTCATCTTAATTGCTATTAACCAGAAATCCTCTAGATATTGAAAAGCAAATTCCTCAAGCCCCGAACCTATTATTATCTCTAGTATTCTCTAGGTATCAGCAATCAGTGAGAGTTCAGTCCCAGCAACCCTACCAGCTACGAACCTACACCTGGTGTTGGTCAATACCTCCTAAATGTTCAAGATACAAGATACAGATGAAAACAGTTTTCAAAACTGAGGTAATTTTGACATTTTGTAAACGTAAATTCAAGTGACCCTCCGTCGAATGAGATTTACGGTACGACGGTACGACGGTACCAATCAAACCTTTGTTTGAGTTTTTTAATCTGAAAATTGATGATTTCCATTTAAAGTTTCTTCATAGAAGTGACTAGCGCGGGCGGGTATGTACATTGTACAATACACGTACTATGCGGCATTGGCACAGAAAGAAATGTTCAAATTAAAATTTAAAAAAAAAGTATTGTGAATCTGGCATGCCATAAAATATATGTTGACAAATCTGTTGAGATGGATTTCAGAGCAAACACATGTGCTACGTTGTTTTTTACTTTCAGATTTTTGAAAAAATTATCTAATTACAACCTTCTTCAACGTAACAAACTTATTTTTATAAACTTGAAATTCTTATGATTTTCCCATCATTTTGTATCATGCGAATTGCATGAGACATGAAACCACTTCGGCCTGATAACGATGAAATTCGCAAAATTTTAAATTATTTTGTGAAATCTGTTTGACAAACATTTTCTTGAAAGGTTAGAAGGAATACTCTATCAGGACCCGAACCTATCAATTCAGGTTCAATACAAGCCTTGCATATCATCAGTTAACATCAGTATTAGTTCTATGGTGTAATATGTTTTCCAATTGTATTAACTACAGGGTCCAATTGTATTAACTTCAGGACTCCCACGAAACATGACTGAAGTAAGACAAATTGGAGGTCGTCTTTGATCTTTGAAAGAATTTGCGGCATTTATTCGTAAACCTAATGTTAGAAGTAAAGTTCTATATTTTATAATCACAAAATACCCCTAGTTTTGGTCTGCCTTTTCTGTGCTTTCAATATTACCAGAGATGTAAAGAATTTCTTCCAAATACGACAATTTTGGTTTTGTTTAATAGGATTGAAATCTGAACGAAATTCTTAATATCGTAATTTTGACAGGACAGAAAAGGCAGACCACATTTAAAAATTCCAGGAATAGAAGAATTTTGTTGTTTCAGGAATCATTATTGTGAAAGTAGGTTGATGACTGACTTAAATATGACAAGTAAAATCAAAGTTCAGACTTAACCTTTGTCGTCTTGCTTTTGTCATGTTTCGTGGGACACCCTGTATCTTTTTTGAGGAAAATACTGTTTCCAATATATTAAAAAAGTGCTGGGTAAATTTATTTTTCTAAAAATAATCACTCCACTAGACAGTTTAAGAACTGATGAAACTTTTTGACCTTGCAGCGCCTTTAGTTTAAATTAAGAGAAAGATTTGATTTTTTCTCAATAGCTTTTCCATAGGAAGAGTTATGAAAATACAATTATGTACGGAACATTTACTTTGAATTGAATTAAAAACTGCCAACGAATTGAAAGATCGACAAATTTACAATTATTAACGAAAAAATATCTATTATGCTGTGCACTAAATTTATTATTGTACATTGTAAATTACTTTGCTCAGGAATTATCAATAAAGTAAAAGTAGGAGAACATCATTTTTTGGATCAACTTTTTTTTCATTCAGTGGATGAAAGGTCTGCGTCTGATGTTTAAAAAAAGTGGGAAAAATCTTATTTTTCGAGACTTAGAAAGCCTTTACACATATGCACAAAAAATAAATACAGATATTATCTTGTATCTTGTCTTTGGACATTTGGATTGGTCAAGCCCTTTCCTAGATGAAAGATAATGTAGAAACATACATTTTTACAAGTCTAAAAAATAAGAAACAAATCTGTGATTTGTTTTTACATTTACCTTAATTATTGATACTTCCTGTATTTAGTATAAACTTTACTGGAAGCCAANGGGGGTGATTGATTATGTAATGAATTGTAAAGGAGGCTCAAACACTCATTCTAGGGTTGATCATTGAGTATATATTGAGTATATTAAGAGAATATTGAGTACTAACAGTGTATCCACGTGTTTAACATTGTAATTGACTTTTATCTTTTCGTAACCTTTACTTGTACTTCCAGCTGTACTCAAACTTTTATATAGATATGAACCTGAACCTATACTCAAACTTTTTTATATATTTGAACCTGCAGCTGTACTCAAACTTTTATATATATATGAACCTGAACCTGTACTCAATCTTTTATATAGATATTAACCTTAACCTGTACTCAAACTTATATATAAATATTTGAACCTGAACCTGTATTCAAACTTTTATATATATAATTGAACCTGAACCTGTACTCAAACTTTTATATAGATATGAACCTAAACCTGCACTCAACCTTTTATATCTATATTTGAACCTGAACCTCTACTCAAACTTTTATATGTGTATATATGTTCTAGCATGAACCTCTACTCAACCTTTTATATATATATATATATATATATATATATATATATATATATATATGAACCTAAACCTGCACTCAAACTTATATAGATATGAACCTAACCCGTTATTCAAACTTTTATATACATTTGAACCTGAACCCGTGTCAGTGTGTACAGTAAAGATTGTACAGTGTACAGTGTAAAGTGTACAGTCAAGTCAGTAGAAGAATGTTCCAGATATTGCTTTCAAGAAGCGTTATTTTAACATTGTTGATGAGAAACTAGAATTAACTTTTACAGTTAAGGACTTGAATGTTTATTTTCATGCTTTTTTAATGTCTCAAATTAATTAAGCTATTTTGTGTTTAAGTTTATTATAGGATTATATATAATCTCCAAGCACTGCACTGCTCTCCCCTTCGGGCTAAATAATACCAAATACAAACTGTAATTTTTACTAGGGTTTACAATCGGAATTCCGTTGCACGAAATTGTGCGAAATTGCGTGGGATTGCGAAGAACTAAAGTAAAAATCCATTTGCGCTGGAAAGCCTAATATTTGACCAAATCTAAACATATCAAAGACTGTAAAAAGCACACCAAAGGTTGAATTTCTTTAAAGTTGCAACAGCAAGAAATGTAAAAAGCACACCAAAGGTTGAATTTCTTTAAAGTTGCAACAGCAAGAAATATAAAAAGCACACCAAAGGATGACTTTTTTAAAAGTTCCAATTTGTCAGTAAAGTTGAGGCAGAAATAAGAAAAGCTTTACATTTCAATGTAATACAGTCTGTCACTTTTAAGTCTTAAATCTGTGATTACAATTGAAAACCATTTAGTTCTGACTGGTTGTAGAGTTCATAACGTAGAAAATCTGTCTTTAAAGGGGACTGAACACACATTTCAAGTGACACAATTATAAGATGGCCATGTCAGATTAACAACGGTATCTTTAAAACCATTATCTGATCTTTTCTGTGAATTATATCTCCGGTGTTCTCATTCATTCTTGAAATCTTTTATGTGATACCTTTGTGAATCGGACATGCTATTCTTTGCTTGTAGGGTTGCTTTAAAGACGTCTACAAACCATCATGTCTTTCTGATTCTTAAATTTAATAAATCAAGATTTTACTCAACCCCGTCGCGTCCATAGTCACTGAAGCTAATCTATTTCAAAAACAAAAGTTTTAACCTCAATTTTGTGCTATTTATGATTTTACTACTTTTAATTTTTTTTTGTTTAGATGATCTCTAAGGTCCGGACTGTGAACGTGTGCTGTCAAGGGTTTACTAGAAGTGCCAACGGTACAACGTGCGTACCTGAATGTACACAACCGTGTGTACACGGTACATGTGAAGAGCCGGACGTGTGTCAGTGTGATCAAGGGTTCGGTGGTATCGACTGCTCAAAATGTAAGAAATGTTTTTACTAAATATTTGATAAATATCAGATTCTGTTCTGAGACTTGTTTTTATTGATAATCTCGACCTAATTTCCAAAATTATTAATATTTTCAGCTTGTCCCCCGGGAAACTGGGGCCCCCGATGTGAAAATAAATGCCCCTGTTTGAACAGTGCTACATGTGACCCAGTATCAGGGGCGTGTAGCTGTTCCCCTGGTTGGCAGGGGGATTCTTGTCAATTTAAATGTGACCCATACAGGTATATTTCATTTATGTATTGTTAATACTACATAACATGTTTTAATAATGGTTTCCTTCCGCTATGCTCAGAATTACAGAAACTTGTATACAAAAGCTTTTGATTTTTGTGAAAATTTAAAAATTCGCGAAAAAAATATTTGAAAATCCGCAAACTTTTTGTTGTTGTTTTATACTGTACTCACAGATAGAGCCACACTTAAAAATATAAATAGAGGATGGGCGCGCGAAGCGCCTTAAAAACCTAGTAATAATAAAAAACTGGGTCAAAGTTATACAAAAACTCGTATATACATAACATAATAAGGCCGACGAAACAACGGGATCAGATACTGGACGGCCAAAGGTTTAAAAATGAATAAGTATTGTATTCAAATCCTAAAAGGAGCGTACCTATAACCTTTGGGTTATCCTGTTTAAAAGTTTGATTCCTATACCATATGACATATATAGGAGTTTTGGTATATTTTTGATACAGTTTTATGTCAATTTCTCGAGACAGGGAAATCAGATAGAATTAACCCTATCCCTGCTGGGGTACTTGAAAACCAGGATATGCTGGGGGGGGGTCAATTTGACCCCCCCCCTCTAAATCCCATGTTTTATGTCCAAATATGACAAATGATACATCATTAGAAAGCTCTTGGGCTCTACTTTTAGAATCTGCAAAAAAATTTGCAAATTTGCAAAAATTGAATTTTTTATTGCAAAATCCAGTTATATAGTAAAAATGTTTGCCAAAAAAAATTGTCCAAAAAATGAAAAATTATACATTTTTGAAAAGCCCTTGACCATGCCATTTCAAATATGCAAAAAATTTTGCAAAATTTTAAATAACCTGATTTTTAATCAAGAAAAACTAAAAATGTGCAAATTTCCTTTGACAGGTCGTTTGCAAAAAATTTGCAATTTTTTTTCGCAAAACTTGTGCAATCCGTTTCCTTATGTCATAGGCTTTCCAAAAAGCTAAATTTTATCAAAATCTGACAAGTGAAAGTGGGTCAAAACAAAGATTTAGTTTGATACAGGCAAAAGCAGTCATTCAGGCAGTGTGCCTGAGGACTCAGGCAGTTAGTATTAAAGCCCGGTTTTAGGCCTAAAGGGAGGGCTTTGGGTATGTAAGAAAAGTCAGAAAATTTCAACAGCCTCAGACCAATACTTTTTGAGTTATGTAAAAAAAACTACAGGGGGTGGGGTCAAATTGACCCCCCCCCCCCCAGCAGGAATATAGGGTTAATATTGGTTGCGATCAACTTCTAAAGTTTTTAGGCATTTAGCCTCCTTTCATTTTACCTTAACAGTCTCTTCAAGTAGTCATTTTATTTAAGTCAGTAGAAGGAAAGTATGTCGTGAGTAAAATTAAGTAACAAGGAAATCCCATTTAAATCATGTCCCAACCCGTCGCAGATTAAGATTGAACTTCAATAGGGACCAAGAACAATTATCAAAGGGAATATCCATAGATAAAAATAGATTGCGCATAAGACGACATTTTTCATCTTGAAAGATATAAATGTACAGAGAGGTTTTAAAGATATTCCTATTTTATAGATTAACTAGGTCGGTTGTGAACATTGGCTGTTCTTATGTCATTGAGTACTTGTGGTGTACATGAGTTCTGTAGATAGAAATTAAGTTAGTTTAGTCCTTCTCATGTCCTTCTTCAGTCCTCGTCAATATGATGTATTGCTCAGTGAAATATTGTTGTTCAAATAGTTAAATTAAATCACCAAACCACCCCGCTTATCATTGAAGTATGAGTTCGCGGACTGTACAATTCTTGGTGATTTTGCGTACATAAGCTATCTATGTTTATTTATTTATCTATGGGAATATCAAATTATTTCCTGAAGTAAAGGGGAAAAACTATTATTTTATTAATTTAAACTTGTAGCAAAAAATGTTATCAATTTGTCTAAAAATCATTGATTTAAAAAAAGATTTGTGATGTAAACCCCTATAAAATCTTGACCAACATTCCTTACACACATGGGAAAGAAACGATTCTAAGGGGTAGTTTTTATTTAAAAAATTACGGATGTTTTTCAGGTTTCAATATTTCTTTTTTTTGATACGTATTCAAACCTTTAAAGACTTGTCTTAGTAATTTTATTTTTATATAATCCAATATGGCTGAATTTCTTATTCTGTTGTAAAGTTAATATTTGAAGGTGTATTAATAATTTAAACCAGAAGTTGTTTCCGACAAAGATGAATTAGGGTTTCTTACAGGGTTATATGTAATACATACAGAAATATAAACATTATTTTCATTTCTAACGTTTTAAATTACAGTCCAGTAAAATAACCAACCATGTATTGCTGGTCCATGCATTAATGGTTTTAGAAAACATTTTATTTATTAGATATGTAAGTTTTAAGTAAATTATTTTTAAAATGTGAAATCATTTTTAATGTGAGAAGCTTTTATTCAAGCTCTTAAAATAGGGTAAACAGAAGGTGGGGAAGAATTAAGAAATGATTTACCCCTGAAAAGTTCTTTTAAGTTTTTGTGTTGCTTGAAGATTGAATATGTTTGAAATGTTTTTATATATTTCAGGTTTGGACAGAACTGCCAGGAAGTTTGCAAGTGCCAAAACGGTATGTTGTTTATTCACTTTTTTTCTTGCGAATTTTCGTTCGAGAAAGTTTACAATATTTTAAATTTAAGAGGGACAGAGGGGGGGGGGATTTTTAAACCTGTCTAGAGCGTTGAACAGTTTGATTTTGATGTTTTCACCAAGTTCTAGAAAACTTTTGAATTTTATACCTCCGCATTTAAATTTATTTATAATCGTGTTGGAAACTTATTTTTGCAATTTTGCAGGAAAGAGGGGGGGGGGGGAGGCCGTTTAATAAATATAGTTTCTTAAAAAAATCTTTTAATCTAAGAAAATAAACCAAATTTTGACTGAAGAAAAAACCTATTTTTCAAATTACTATATCTTTGTAATTTAATGGTGTAAACCTTTGATGATTAAATTTTGAATGTTATGATATATAGAAGAGTTTTGAGTTTTAAAATATTAAAATAAAAAATTTAGAATTTAGAAATTTAAGTACGAGAAGATTAATCTGTTCAATCATTAATGTCTAAAATCTAATCAAATAAAAACTTGAAAATTTGCATCCGGAAAAGTCATTCCGAATGAAAGTTAATGAACAAGTGTAATTTAGATTATAAAATTGATTTAGAAAGTTTTAATTGAATCAATCGATCATGGTCATTGAAATTAAGTCTATTTCACAACAAAAACTCTTTAATTTTAGAGAAACATTTTATTAAAGAATTACCACGCCTTTGAGTTTTTTGATGTTACTAGAATCAAATAAAAATCTATTTGACTATTTCTATTCTTCTCGGTCCGACTTTATTTAAAACCTGATATATCAATATACAGTATATTATTAATCGATTCAATTACCATGAAGGCTTTTTTATCAAGATTCCTCTGAAAACTGGGTTTTATTGGAAAAGATTAAGGTTTCTCAGTCGTAGAAACTTCCATTGATTTTTCATATTTTTTCTTAAATTTTTTAGAAATAAAAGTCAAAAGTTACTTATAGTCCAGAGGGCGTTACCGTTTAATGTTGAAAAACCAATTAAATTGAATGCTATACACTTAAAACTAAAGTAAATTACACGCAAGATTTAAATCTGATATTTTCATACCTCCTCTTATTGACGAGCTATATAAACGTAGAAAAATATTTTGAATTCCTAATATGTAGCAGGATAAGTTTGCGTCTCTCAAACTTGTGATATATAGAAAAAGAGAGGAGCTACGAGGTCACCAAGTCGTATCAATAATGTCGCGTTAATTTGACCTTTCTGTCTAGTTTGCAGTGGATAGGTCCTGAACACTCCTGTTTCTTTAAATTGAAAAGTAGAAGCCAAGATCTATTTAATTTATGGCATTACCTCCGTCCAATCTAAATTTACACAAGAACAACACTGAATTAATGCAAGTGTAGCTTTAACAATTTTAGATTTTAGATTTTCAAACCTTCAAGGAACTGTTCAAATATTTTAACTCGACCTTTTAGTTATAGAGTTATTTATCTGATTCACAACGGTACCACACTTCTGTCTGAGAAATTTGATATGTAAGAAATATCCAAGTTTTTCTGTTGCAGTTGCTCCGGAATTTTTTTTTTCTCAGATAAATGTTTCATGTATAATGAGTCGCGGGCTTGTCACTTTTTCATTGAAATAACGAATAACGTTGACAGTCTCTTTACATGAAAATTTTGTTGAGTCGCTTGATGCAAATTAGGTCTACTACATTTTGCATGTTAAACACTTTTATATTCTAGTTTTAGTTCTATATTTTGTACGTCAAGCGTAAATATTTTCAAGAAGAACAGAACGCGCGGTCCAACTTTTTACTTGACCTGAGATGGAATTTAAAGAATAAGAGCCGCGGTTTAAATCTGCCAAAACCCGGTTTAAATTAAGCGCCGGCTTAAATCTTGAAACATTTGATACAATTTTAAGTGGAACCAACCATATTTAAGCCGCGGCTTAAATTTAAACCGCCGCTCAAATTCTTTAAATTCGGCCACTGGCCCAGTTTCAAGTAAGAATCTCATTCCTAATATAATGGGAACATAATTAATTATTACTAAATATTACAAAATTACTTTAAAAAAATTGTATTTTGTTTTCGTTGACCCCCTTTTGTGCCCCTGACGCCCCTCCCCCCTAAAAAAAATAAATGATTTCTGATTCCCTGGGAACCTGTTCTTTGATAGAATATGCATACGATAAGGACTTGAATATAAATATCCTGAATATTCCAATCTATAATATTCTCTATATTCACACATATCAATTGTTATATTTTAAGCATGAGGATCATTTAACACCGACGTCTACGGCCTACGCATTAATCGTCCACAATTGGTCCGGAAATTTAATTTATTATTTATTCCGTAAGAATTAGATAATATACTTACCCTATCAATCTACCTACCTACCTATCTACCTACTTACCTACCTACCTACCTACCTACCTACCTACCTACCTATCTACCTACCTACCTTCCTACATACCTACCTACCTACCTACCTACCTACCTACCTACCTACCTACCTACCTACCTACCTACCTACCTACCTACCTATATTTCAGGTGGTGTGTGTGATCATATATCTGGGGAGTGTAGCTGTGCTTCAGGTTGGAGAGGAGCATTGTAAGTAGCTTTTATCTATATATAAATACTTTGCTTGTCTGTTTGTTTGTTTGTAACCAATAAACGTCAAAACGGCTGAACTGATCGGGCTCAATTTTTTTGTGGGACCTTACATGACCCCAGGAAAGGTTTATGGATTCTCATAATTACAAAAAAATTATCCAAAATTTTTTTGAATTTTTTGCAAAATTTAGAAAGTCCACGATTTTTTGTTATTGTTAAATTTGTACAAAGAGAAGATGCTTACGGATAGAACAACAATTAATAGTTTCAAAAGCCTAGTTATTAATAATTAAGCTTCCACGGTAAACTAAAGTAATCATAACTCATTTGAAGAGCTATTGAGAAGAACTAAACCGCTTTAAATTTCTAATATTTGATCTTTTCATACTACAAGGTCGAAAACAAATTCCTATCAAAACATTAAATTATTTCACCTGAAGTTTGAAGTTCTTCTGAGATGGATTATGTCCTTTTTTGCCAGTCGTTAGTATATGGTGAATTTCTTATTTATTTATTTTTAGTTTTACTCGAAAATCTCAAGTTTTTAAGAAAAATAAATTTAATAATGTCAACTCAGGAATTCTTTTGTGTGAACAAATTCTAAAGAGTAAAATAGTAAATTTTGATCGAAATACATTGTAAGGAATTAATATTTTAAATAGTTACGATTTTTTAGATTCCCTGTGCAATTGTTTTTCTTCTCATATTGGATAGTACCTTAGTCCCAATTTTGAGCCATGTTAAATGTATCAACCTCAACCAAATTGAAACAATATGGTTTACTGTAAAACTGTAACTTTTTATAATTATATTTATGAAACTATTGTGTACTTTATCATTCTTACTCACTTCATCGTGAATTTCATAATAAACGTGCTATAAAGTAATCATCGTGCTATAAAGTTAAATCTAAAAAGACTTGAATCTTCTCGATTAAGAGAATTTTGTTGTCCAAACACTTTATAACACTGCGAACCAAAATAACAGTGTTATGAATAGTTATTATATTTTCACTAGTTTTAATTCAGCACCAGCTATCGAATCTTCAATGATCGTGTTTTCTTTATTAAACGGGTTGAATCTGACTGATTTTAGAATATAAAAATTCAGAATTTAGACATAATACAATACAAAACAATTTTTGAAGAGAAGTAGGTTGTGCTGGGGGTTACAGTTTTCAGGAAAATAATTTCTTCATTTGTAGAGTAGCGTTTCCGATTCGCAAGATTTGATTGATCAAGATTGTCAGACTATTTTGTATTTAAGAAATATTCATGTTTAAGATAAATATTTACATTCGAATTTTTTAAACCCGCGTTGGACATAATAAAGTCATTATTTTCGAGAAATTCATGTAGCGTATAAGGCTGTTTTGTGTTTACATTGTACGCTAGCGTACACTCCGGTTTTACGGCAATTCGAACACCATTTGAGAAATTAACCCACAGAGTTCTATGGCCTCGGTAATCAGTCAAATGTTTAAAGGGTACCAATGGAAATCGGGCATTGCCATATTTGCACGTAAGAGGGTCAGTTGAAATTCCATTATATCCCGTTCAACAATACTCTGTGCAATGTGCATAGTGAAAAATATTTTTTTCAATTAGAACTAATTGCTTAATTTTTAGAAATTAAAATATTTTTATTTAAACTTCGTTATAAGTTCTTATGCAAATCTGGTTTTAAAGGTTTGAAGAGAAGGAAGGAAAAAATTATAAATTATCGTTTTTTGTTTTAATTTAACTTTTTATGATTAGAAAACATAAAAAAATTAACATTTAAATAATTATTTTTGCGAAATAGAATAAAAAAATGAAAAATATGTAAAACTAGTGTTTCAAGTTATTATGCAAATGACTTAACATATTTTTTTTAAAAATAAAAACAACAAATATATCAAATCTTCCTTGATAATTTTGTTTTTACCTCTTGACTCCAATTCACCCTAGATATCAAAGTTTCCACTTGCATAATAATTTGATTCACAGTAAAAGTCAAATTTAACACTTTGTCACTTCGGTTTCAGTAGAAGTAAATATTTTCATTTACTGCTTCACGCTGATTTTAGAATTCATCTCTGATTGGATGATAAGATAGAAAGATAGATGTTACCGTCATGCAATTTCTATTGGTTCAGAATTGGATCAGGCGCTAATGGAATCGGCATACAAGTGTGGTGTACAACGTGTACAACTCAAGTACACCCAAATTTGTATACATATTTAAAAACTTGAAAGCAAACTTTTTTAGTAAAATAAATATTTTGAAAATATCTTTTTTTTACTCGGAATTTTAAAGACGTACTTGCAAAATAACTTGAAACGCAGTGTATTTGCCCTAAACTATTGTGATATTGTGGCTGTGTTTAGCTTGTTTTCCTACATCCGGGCTTAGGGTTTATTGGTTGAAGGGAATTGGAGGAAATTGTCTCCGAATATCCCCCCCTAATCCGCCAACTAAAATATACAGTTGGATAGCTGGAAACAAACTTACTTTGGACTTTTCCATGTTTGCTAAATCACCGGATTATATCTGAACATCCTTCTGAACATACTTGGAATTCACTTCTAATGATTGGTAAATTACTTCTTTTTATATTATACTAGCCTTATAGGGCGCTTCGTGCCCATCTTCTAAATTAATTGTGAACATGTTCTCTTTGTGTACATCGTAAAACAAAACAAAAATAATTCGCGGATTTTCACAAAAAGTTTCGTGGATTTTCAAAATTTTCAAAAATTTAATGAAGATCGAATTTTGATAGAGACAAATATTTGAAATTTTGATCATTCATAAACCTTCCCTGGGGCTCCGTGAGGTCCCACAAAAAATTTGGGCCCGATCGGTTCAGCCGTTTTGACGTTTATTGGATACAAACAAACAAACAAACAAACAGACAGACAAGCCAAATATATATAAGACCAATATGAGCCGAAAGCCTTGATATTTTAAACTAAACAAAATTCATAGATTTTAATATCAAAAGTATAAGGATTAGAAAATTGAGGTTTGAAAAGATTTATTGATCTCTTTGTGCTGATAACATGCACATGAAATGTAAACGCAATGTGAAAGGGAATTGTTCATTTAGTGTACCGTACTGTTTTGCCTGATATAATCTGTATGTGTACTGTGCATCTAACTGGTTAAAAGTCTGTCCGGTGCTTGAAATAAACCGAATATTACAGTTGTCCGATGTAATTGCAGAAAAAGAAATGCTTACAAACCTTTATTTCATTAAGTCAAAAATTACACACTATAAACACTCACTTAAGACGCAATTTAGTATCAGGTTGCAATGATATAGGGTATAGAAAATGTTAGTTTGTGGCAAAAAATCAATTGCTTTATAGGAGCTGAACTGCACTCTTTAACTCCAATGTTCTCTTAGTTTTCAATTAACCATTATAGACCTTAATACTTTTTATATAAATGCGAGTATAAAAATTGTTAAGTTTGCTTGAACTACAGTTTTTTTTATTGCAGTTTTGATTTCTTTAAAAACAGCGCATTTAAGTTATGCTTTGTGCAGACTTGTAAAATGTTTAAGTAGAGAAGTTTTTACACTGCAATCCTACTGCAATCAGGGTCCCCTTGAAAGTCCTGTCTAGAAATGTCAATCGATGGAATTTCTTTCTTTAAAATTTCTTTAAAATGACCAACGTCAATTATTCTGCAACGCTATAAAATAATTTTATTGTCAAACTCAGTATTTGTATTGTATACTGTGCAGTGTGCAGTTGATTTAAAAGGATTTTGACAGTTAAACTTCAAACTTAAATATATAAATTCTTCAAAATATATTCAGTCTGTATTTGACAGTTTTGGGGAACCAAGATTGGCAGTTGGACTTTAAATCTAAATTCTATTGGTCTATGATTGATTAAAATTAAGTAATGAGAGTGATTAATTATTAAGGAATCGCTTCAGTTTTAAGTTTTGATTTAAATGGACTATGGAGTGTAACAGGAAAAAATTCTAGAAAAAAATAGTTTTTCATTTTTTTAAACCATCACATATCCTACTGTTCTTAATACTTTTTCTTTTCATGCAAATAAAAGATTAAATGAAAAAGATCATTGAAAATTTCTTTGGTTGCCACAAAATCCCTTTTTAAAATATGCTACACACCTTCTTTTAAAGATTAGGATTAATTGTACTCTTCTAATTTCAATATTTATTATACTCTTCTAATTTCAATATTTATTATTGTATATTTCACATACAAGTTAAAAAATGATTTTTTGAGAACATTTATTAATTGACAGAAATAAATTTATTCAGTATATCTCCAATTTTCAAACATTAACACTCACCAGGGGTGTACACAGTATACACTATACAGAGAGGGGGCGTTGGTGAAGGGGGGGATAGGTTGTAATGCTATTTCCATTTTAACTTTATTAAGACTCTAACTTGCCCCCCCCCCTGCCCCCTGTTCAAGCCTGTGTATGTCCCTGAACGGCACATATTTGATATAAATGGCTGCCCGCTCTCTAAAGAGAATATTTAATGTACTAGACCTTATTTTATAACACACTAGGTCACCCAGGGACGGGAAGGAAGTTTAAGCAATCAGGAACAGAATTTGATGAATTTGAGTTACGTCGCTGAACTACCTAGTGCCGGTTCAAATTTGAACCACCGATTTAAAGTTAAAGATTAAGGAAGGATTTGAATCGGTGATGCAAATTTAAGCCGTTGGTGGTAGGCAATTCAAATTCATTTAATTCGGTCCCAGAGGTCTTTTTCACCAAAGTCTTAAATATTTCCTTCAAAACTTTCAGAGTTCTCAATTTTATCTCTCTAGTTTTTGTGTTTTTATTGTTTTGTAAAATTTGTTGAAAATATTCACCTTTATGTTCTTTTGGGAAAGGAATTGAATCTTTGCCATGAACTCTGATTTTCTAATTAGAAAATTTGAGTTTGTGGCAAAAACTCAAAGCCTTATATTCAATTACAAGAAACTTATTTTTAGAATGTGTTCAAGGCTAATTTTATGTTGACTCAATTATTTTTACATGAGTACATGAGGAGTACTTCAGGTTGACTGTAAAAGGGGAGTTAATTGTGGAATTAAATTTATTGCAGCCCCCCCCCCCTGCATTATCTCTAATCCAATGAATACCCCCCTGTAAGTATTTTGTGTGATATTGCAGTGGTGTTCTGGTCTAGGCTAAATGAGTGGACTTGTCAGTGATAATTGTTTACAGTTAGTTTCTTTATACTGTACAATATATATTATACATTCACTGTTTGAGAACCCAGCCTTGCCCAGGGTAGTAATATTTACTTCCGCTTGTTAGCTATTTTTCCATATTAAAATGTACCCACTCAACTTAGAATCTCAACCAGGCTAAGCACATTATCATGGTTCTCCCGAGTTCCCCAGTCAAAATTTGAGGCAAATCGGTCAACGGGTTCATGAGTTATGATCGGACATACAAACAGACAAACAGAGATTACAACTTTATACATAAAGATGATAATAATCCATGTTGAAAAGAAGAAAATAAGAAAATCCCTAAAAAGTAAAAAAGCACATTTAAAAAAAATAATGTAATTAAGATGTTCAAAAAAAAACATCAAGAAAATACCAAGCCTTTTTTTTACAATCTTTGTATTTTTTTTTGAAGATACTACTGTAGACTTTTTTCAAGTGACCCTCCATTTTTAGAGTGACATGTATGATTCGTAAATGTTTAAACCTTCATCTGGGGGAAACAGAGGAAGATATATTTCCGTTTATTTCTTGGAAAGTGTTCATTGTCTCTGCTGCATCAATCTTCAATTTAATTTTCTAGAGAAATTTAAATTTAAAACAATGATATCTCTATTATTATTGCTTAGACTGAAGTTTCTGAGGTACCCTTGTAAATCGTAGGGTCACTTGAAACCAGGGGCATATCCAGGAATTTGTCAAAAGGGGGTTGGGGGCTAAACAATTTAGCTGTCAAGGGGGGGGGGGGAAGTACCTGTTGGGGCCCTAAAACCTTTAAAATCATGGATTTCACTGATTCAGGGGGGAGTTTGAGCCTGCACATACCCCTTGAATTTGCCTCTGACTGAAACCACAAAAAAAATTTTTTTTAGATTTTAAAGCGAGGATATTTTCTGTTATGTTTGCGCAGACTATTCCCATTGTGAATCTGACATTTCACTCTTTAAATGGAGGGTTACTTAAAATTACGTCTACAGTTCCTTTAAAACTAGGCTAGTCTTCGGACAGGGTCTGAGGTTTTCAGGGTTTCTTGGATATCATTCCTTGCAATTGTTCTTAAATTATAGTTTTAGTTTCTTGTTAGGGTTAGAGAGGGCTGGAGGGGAGTCATGGGAATTAATTATACTTTAACTCCAGTATTAACATTTCTTTCAACATATACTTAATTGTGTTATGATACTCAAACCAACAATAGAAACAAAGAGTAGAAAATTAAAAACGGATTAAATTTGTGTCAAGGTTTCAAGGTTAAGTATAGGGTGTCCCGTAAAACTTGATAGTTTGGTGAATATTTTAAAATGTCTTCTTCCATAATTTGTTAAGTGGTTTAATACCACAGAGAATAAAAAAATATGGCCGTCATATTACAGTAAAATTGATTTCAAGGTTAAATGTATTTGAGTAAAAGATTTTCTTAGCAACATAATCTGCAAAAAGTCATTACTATCTAATACAGCATATGGAAGAAGACATTCAAAACTATTCAATAACTCTCATGGTTCGTGGGGTACATTTCAATTTCGTGGGACACCCTTTACATTTCAATTATTGTCAGCAGAACCAATATTTTAATACTAACGCATGCTATTTTTTGCAAAAAAAAATCCAAGAAAGCAAAGACGATTTTAGAAATAAAGACAGAAAAGATTAAAAAGAGTAAAAGATATAATCAAACATAAAGGAAGCCTAAAATCGGCGCAAATTTAAAAAGATGCTTAAAAATGCCCGTTTTGTGTAAAACCAATATCTTTTTTTTCACAACCCTTAATGGGCCCACGGAACGCCCAACGGCTTCATCTTTTGTTTAAACCCAGCTTGCTGGACTACAAATTCAATTTATTTGGTCAGACCCTTCCTTTGCCAGTTTTAGTTTTGGTTTCATGTCACGGTATAAAACTATAGAGAAGCTACGAGTTTACAAATTCGGACCAATTATGTCGTATAAAAGTGGCTTTCTCCTGTCTAGGTCTCAGTGAAAAGAAAACCTTAAAAGTAGTTAAAGCTGTCATCTATCTAGTCCTATAGTTCTCCTAAGGCAACACTTTTAGTTGAAATATATATCTTCTTCATTGGCTAAACTCTACATCTTCAGCGTAAACTTTTGTAATGAATAATTTAAGTTTAATAAGTTTTGACCTGAAATATATTTAGATGTGAAGAACCGTGTCCCCCAGGGAAACATGGAGCCAACTGTACAAACCTTTGTGCTTGTCAGAACCTAGGACAATGTAACCCTGCTACTGGAAAGTGCTACTGCCCGATGGGCTGGACGGTAAATCAACATTTTAAACTTTTAGCTGAAAGGGACTGTATACGTAATTTCAAGTGACCTTCCATGGAAAGATGGCACTGCTCGATTCACTATGGTACTCTTAAAAGCTTTTCTGATCCAAGAATGAAATATATATCAATGTTTTTGTTTCTTTAAAACTGTTCATTTCCATTTCTATGTTTATAATTTTGAAAACTGATTATTTTCAATTGTAATTTCTCTACAAAAGGGAGAACATATGGGAAATTTCATAATAAAATGTCTTCCACATTATTGATCAGATAAAGGTTTTAATGGTACCGTTGTAAATCGGCCAATGCCATCATTGTATGGAGGGTCACTTGAAATTACACTTACAGTGCCTTTAAATAAGAAAAGACAACATTAAACTTTAATATGAACGATCAAGCAGACAACTTGCCGTAAACTCTATTTTTCAGTTCTTATATCTTTGCAACCTGATGTTTTAGACCTTTAAATTTAGAACTTTGGGATGGTGGATATCGGGATTAATGCTTGATCCACTCTTTTTCTTAATCTCGAGATTAAATAACGCTTCTTCTCCTCTTGTTGTTAATCTCTAGATTAATTAACCGATCGGGATAAAGGATATCCTATTCAAAAGTTTTCAGCTCTGGTGTTTTAGACCTTTAATATTTTTAAACTTTGAACTCATCCAGATTAAACAGTTTTAAATAACGGGTTTGCACCACAAGGTTTCAAAAATAAAGGAATGAAAGTTTCATAATTTCATATTTCTCATCTCAAGAAATAAGTAAAGTTTTTTTTAATCTCTTTAAAAAGGGTCTCGTGATCTACTGCAGGAAAACCCCTGATTTTCCATTGTTTTCTATTAAAATCCTAGTTTTAAGAGACAGTTAGAGAAAGTTAATTAAACTTTATATTTTTATTCACTGCAGGTGTTTTCTAATTATTTAATAGTTTAGGAATAACTAGAGAAAATCTTAATAACTAGTTGGGGGATTATTACTTTTTATTTTTGCGCCAATTCTTAGAAAAATTAATTAATTTAGTTTCCTTCCTAAAAAATAATATTGAAAGTATAATATTTCATTTTTAGTATTTTTCATTTTTCTTTCAAACATTATTCCTGATTTGAGAACAAATGTAAGCAACGGAGTATTTTTTTCAAGAGTTTAGTCTGCACAGCTTTACATATTTACTTATACGGTTTGGACTTAAATATTTGACTCAATTTTTTTGCTTAATAGGGTTTATTAATTTTATTTATTTCTTCTGTAGTGTTTGGTCTTTGATAATTCTTTTATTTCTGTTGTAGGGTTTAGTCTCTCTTAGGGATTTGTCTACAAAACCCTTATTTTTTTAAGGGTTCTTCTGTACTGGCATTTTATACGTCTTTCTTTTATCTGCTCAAATCTTTAAAATGTTTATTTTTAATCTTTCATGGGTAATCGTTGATCGTGAGCTATTATGCATAGCTAGCTATGTATGATCAAAAAAAGTAGAACCTTTTTTCCATTAATACACTTCAGATGCGAGGAGCGACGACCCTATTCCGTTTAATGATGGGTTGTCAGCTAGCTAATAATAATAATAATGATAGATTTTGGTCTGTACTAATCTAAAATTTGTTGTTTCTAGGGTTTAGTGTGTGCTAACCCCTGTCCCCCTGGGAGCTATGATATAGACTGTAGAAAGCGATGTGACTGTTACAACGGTGCTGTCTGTGATCATGTAAACGGAAAGTGTCATTGCCTTCCAGGATTCCAGGGATCAAAGGTAGATACAGTGGGAGCCAGAAAACTGTGCAATAGGAAAACGATTGTCTAGATAGTCTAATATATACCAAACACAGAAATTGTGCAGTGCACACATGTCCATTGATCATTTTATAGAAGCTACTGGTAAATATATTTGCTTTTTAACAGCACAAGATGTCGTCTTCCTATTCCACAGTTGTATGGCGCTCACTGTAAACTTATAAAGAACATAACATTCACCTAAAACCATTTTATAATTTTCATATCTTAGCAACCTAATAGCGATTATAAAAACTAATGATCAAAGTTTGAAATATCCAAGATTGGTTGCAAACTGTTTGGTTTCTTAGCATATTGGTTATAAAATGTTGTTTTACACTGACGATCCAAAAACCTTTTATGGAACTTTGATTAGCAAAAATATATTCAATTCTCATTTTTAAGTTTTAAAGTTTTTGTAGTGCTTTAGCTTTGAGCTCTGTAAATAAATTAGCACTTTAAATGAAATTCTATAGTAGAATGTAATTTAATAGTAAAATTTGTTGTTTTGTGTAATATAGGACTTGAACTATAAGAACTTACAAGCCATGCATATTAAACCTTGTTGTATACTGTATAGTCTCTAGAATGTCTGCATTAATAACTTAGTTCGAAACAAGGGACTCTAAACAAAGGGACATATTTTTAACCTAACTTGAAATTTTTTAACAAATAAAACTGGAGTAAATTTTAGTTTTTAATATTTGTAAAAAATTATCCAATTTTGTAAAATAAACCAGTTTTTCTGCAAAACTTTCATCTTTTTAATGATTTGCCCGTATCAAGTGATATGCCAATTCATGCATCATAATTTATATGTTAGTTCTCACAAAATTTTAGAAGTAGAAATATTGTTAAAAAATAAATTTAAAGATGGATTTTTTATTAAGGCAAAATTGTAAGAGTAAAAAAAGGTTATAGAAGAAAAGTGAATAAAGCCAAGGTGGAAAGGCATGGATGGGGGGGGGGGCGGTGTTCTTTGTCTTGGTATAATGAGTGAAAGGAATTTTGATCCCTGCAACAATATGGAAGAGAAGGCGTGGCTGGAGACAAAATATTATAAAATACATCACTATTAAAACAATGGAAAGCTGATGGTAGGACACGGATAAAAATAGAGTCACAGACATGAAATATATGATCTTAAATTACATGGTTACCCACAAAGGAAGAGACTGTAAAGACGACCCAAAACTCTAAAAATTTGACGATTTATAGCTTGATTTCTGGTTTCTGAACTCAATTGAGTTTATAGTTTTAAGAATGATGAAGCACAGAAATAATCCAGTTTTGGTCTACAGAGAACCCTGAATGCAAGGAAATGGACTAAACAAGTTCCGTACAATATACCCTGTATAAACCATTTTTCACGCGGGAGGGAGGAAGGGGGGGGGTTGTAGAGCACACTTTAGTTTTAGGTTGGTTTAAAGGGACTGTAGTCATAATTTTAAACTGAGCCTCCACTGTAGAGTTGGTTATCCTTTAAAATTTGTCATGATCAAGGACTAATGATAAAGATAAATAATTCTGTTCAATAGTTTTGTCTCTTTGTGGCATTAAGGAAATTTCCAGCATTAAATACTTTAAAAGCCAGAAAAACAACAATATCTTCCATATTGATCATGTATAATTACAACAATCTTCCCTTTAAAGGGACTGTACGTTATTTCAAGTGACCCTTTATGCAAAGATTCACAATGGTACCCTTTAAACATATTGGAATTATTAGAAATAAACACAATATCATCCACATTATAGATCAGATATAGGTTTCAAGAGTACCATGGTGAACCTGGCATTGCTATCTAAGCATGGATGTAACTTGAAATTGCAACAACATTCCCTTTCAAATATAAACCATTTTTCACGAGTGGGCTATTGAGCACACTTTAGCTGCAGGTTGGTTTAAGTGTGTTTCTCTGCTAGGTCATTAATTCATTTCTTACTAAACCCTCGGATATAATCTGTTTCATACCCCTCACATCAATTATGTTTTGGATCGCTCAAAACCCATTTGTATAAACCATTAAGAAACTAAACACTGGACTCAAACTCTAATTTTTCTAATCTTTAGATCTTCCGAACTTTTTCCTGATTTTTTTCTTCCCCCTCCCCTAAAATATGTAGAGAACGCTTTACTGATTAGGCCCCATCTAACATGGTCCCAGAATTGGTCTATGGCGTTCCATTCTAGAATTTATATATGTTGCCACAAAAAATTTGTTTAAAAAAAAAATTTAGTTAATAACTATAAATTGTAAAGAAAAACAATATGTGTTTTAAACCCTAAAATCCCCAAGAAGAAAAACAAAGCCATGAATTTGAAATATTAAAATTATATTATTAATATTAAATTCAAAATGTTTTTTTAAAACAGCGTCACAGATAAGAGTTTGCCAAGTAAATAAACCTTTTTGTAAAAGCTTTTCAAAGTTTTCTAAAAATCTATTCGCGGATTTACCATTCAGACATTTACCTAAGTAGAGCAATATTTTATTTCTATTTGAAAATAATCCTTATTTTAGATTTTATTCATATTTTAAAAGAAAATAAATCTCAAATTCTTTGTCTTTCCATATTCTATCTTTTTAAAAATTAATTTTTGTATTTCTTATATGTCATTATTTTTTAAACTTTAATAATTTATTTTGGATAAGGGGTGTGGGCACAAGTTCACGCATACAAATAAAACGATATATCAATAAATCTATTTCCAGTTTGTTATAAAGTTTTTTCTATTATTTTGTTTTGCTCAAGATAAGTTAAAAGTCATGTACACCAACGTTTTGTGTTGCGGCGTTGTCTTAAAAACTTGACCATGGCCAATGGGTAACCCTATAAACCGTAGTGAACACTTATTTTACGCGGGCTGATCTTGCTTCCTGTTTTTTCTTTGGCTTAACTATTAGGTTTGGTTAAATGATAATGATTTTTGTTAAATATTTCATTATTTTAGATTTGATTAATGATTTGCATATTTAGTGTGAGGACCAGTGCCCGTATGGGAAGTATGGCCAGGGGTGTGGAGAGAGATGTCGGTGTGTGAGGGGGGTGTGCGACCCTGTGGACGGAATGTGTACATGTCCCCCCGGATGGACAGGGCCCCTTTGTGACCAACGAGCTTGCAGCAGGTACGATATTTACTCCTCCCCAAATTATGATATTATTTTTGTCCCTACTCAGGGGGATAAAGGGCCTGAATCAGTGCAATCCAAGGTTTCCAGGGGGGTATTTGGGGCCCTAGCGGGTGTTGAACCCTCTGGAAAGAAAAAATGTCAGCTCCCTTGGACAAATGCCAGTAGGGTTTGTTGGCATTTTACCAGCTTAGTTGAGTTACTAGTTTCATTGTAAATAATAATAAAGATTGAAATAAATTGAGGTCAGGAATCGGATTTATTGAATTTGAGCTAGGTCTACAGACGGTTCAACCACGTATCTTGAATCGTTAATTTAAGATTTTTCCCTGTCCAGCACAACAGACAAGTAGTTGAACCGGTGGTAGGGGTAATTAGCGACCTAGCTCAAATTCATAAAATTTGGTCCCTGGTTTGTTTATAAGAAAAACTAGTTCCTGAGCTGTCCTCTATATAAACTGTCCTTCTCCGTGTCTGTATATAAACAAAGAGTCTCCAAGTTGCGAGTAAGATATTTATATAAACGTAAAGGAAAAGTTTCCTTGTATAAAACATGGTTTCTTGAGAATATTAAGAGAAAAACTGACCAAACAATCACAAGACTAGAGCAACACAAAAATCCTCGGGGTTTCCATTAAAGGAAGTAAAACATAACCTCAAACTTTAATTTTCTAGTCTCTATATTTTTTTATATTTAAATTTTTCAAATTACGAATTCTTCCAGCGACCGAATTTGATGAAGTTGAGCTACGTCGCTGAACTAGCTACTGCCGGTTCAAAGTTGAACCGCCGATTCAAAGTTAAAGATTTGGAAGGATTTGAACCAGCAGTAAGCAATTCAAATTAATCAATTAATCAAATTCGGTCTCCAATCAAAAAGGTTTTTAAGAAACTAATTATTGTGTAGTGATTTTTTATCAGAATTCATTTTGAACCAGGTTAAAAATATTTTTTAAATTAACCATTTTTATTTGTTTTATTTTAGAGCAGAACTGTATGGTCCACAGTGTTCCCTTATCTGCAGATGTCACCCTGACAACTCAGAATTGTAAGTACATCTTATATATATTCAATGTATAAATAATACTAGTTTAAAAATATCACAAATCTCTTAAAGGGACTATAAGCGTATATTTTAAGTGACCCTGCATGCAAAGTTGGCAATACCTGATTCACAACGGTACCCTTGAAACCTTTATTTCATTAGTAAAGTGCAACATAATGTGCAAGTGAAACGTAAAGAAAACAGTTTAAAAATTAGAACTGGTGCGTGATCAAGCATGAATTAAATATAAAGATAATATTATCCTTTACTTTTTTTAAGGATCACTATTATAAAACTGTGGAATAGGAAGACGACTGTTTATAGACTGTTTTTATGTTTTTAATCATTATGATGTGATCATGAAATACACCAGTTGTTACAATTTTAAACTATTGGTGAAACTATTCGCTTGATAGCAACATCAAATACAGTTTAAATTGCTCAAGTGTCATTCAAGACGCCTGCCTAAAGTGCGTATAGAAATAAACGTTTATCAATCAATCAATCAAATTGCTTAAGTGTCGTCTTCCTATTTCACAGTGTTTTGGGGTCCTATTATACAGTTGTAATCTCTGTTTGTCTGTTTTTATGTCCGATCATAACTCATAAACCCCTTGACCGATTTGCATAAATTTTTTTTATTGGGGAACTCGGGAGAACCACGGGATTATTTTAGCTTGGTTTTGAGATTCTAAGTTAAGTGAGGGAAAAATGACTAAAATTGTAATTTACAACCAAGCGCGGGTAAACGGCGGGAGTATTTATGAGTTCCCTGGGCAATGCCGGGTTCTCATGAGCTAGTAGTATTATAAATCTTTAAAGTTACACAATAAAATATTATTATCATATCTCTAAATAGTAAATATATTGTTATGTCTAAAATTTAAATCTATTTATGTTTACTTTGCTTGTCTGTCCTTTCGTTTGTATCCAATAACCGTAAACACGGCTGAACCGATCAGGCCAAAATTTTGAGGCAACTCACCTAACCTGAGGGAAGGGTTATGGCTGGTCAATGTTGAACGATGTTCCCCAAAAAAATGGTCGTAAATTATTGCTTTTGGAATTGCACCAATTCAAAATGGCGACTTTCAGAGTTAAAGCTAAACGCCTAGTGTTAGTAAATTTTAAAACAGAATATGTTTATTGAATCTCCAGACTGTTTAATGGAGCCTAAAGCTTTCCCTAAAACTCATTATTTGATTTGATATATTAGATTTTTATACCGTCCGATACAGAATTTATCTCGAAGTAATTTTTAAAATTTTCTAAATCTAACCAAAAATGACAAATATTTATGATTTCCGTATCGAAAAAAAAAAAACATTAAGGAAGAAAATAATTTTATTTCTTGTTTTTCCCCTGGTTTATGTTCTCCTGATACATAGAGGGAATAAGGAATTTATCATTGCAGTATCAGGGAGGTCCACTGGGAGATATCGTATACCACAAACCATTACACGCATATTCAAAAGAGGAGTAAACAACTTAGAAATACCATTATATTTTCTTTATGATATTTACCTTTATAACCTCACGAAATTAACAAAATCAGAAGGTAATAATGATGTAAAGTCATTACATCCATTAGAAAACAAATATAAAAATAAAAAAGTTTAATTTTCAACGGATAAAAAAAGACTTTTCAAAATTCAATCCAAATTCCGTTTTCAATTTATGATTTAAAATATAAAAGATTAAATATTTTTTATCTAAGGCCGTAATTGGGGGGGGGGGGGGGGGTACAATATCACGATGTAGTTTATATGTTTGATTATATCATAAGACAGGAGTAAAATTACTGTTTGTTTCGTAATATAAACCCTAAGGTTTGAGGTATACTTTTCCATTTTCTATTACGAAGCTATTATCCAGTACAAACATTCCTCTTTTTTTATTCTTCAAAGTTTTTACAAGGAAGGGGGGTGGAGGGGGGGGGTGAACTTTTTATTCTACCTTTTTATCATCTTAGGTAACTTAAAAAAAGATTTCTCTTTACTTTATGAATCACAAATAAACATTTACAATTTTACATTTTGATCCGCCTAACCAGGTTTGGTTGGTTTAATTTTTATCTGGTATTGTTTTAGTCTTTTTGGTTTTCTTAAAATTGCATTTCTCAGAAGTTAGATAAATTTTACATATCGAAATGTAAAAGTATTGTATCTGCTACTTTACATCTAATTTATATAAATATATTGTGAATCATAATATATTACAAATGAACGATTAAAATTGACAAGGAATTGGGTTGTTTTGTTAGTTTCTTTACTATTGTTTTCCGTCCTCGATTTGGTTTGGGCTTGACCATTTATTTTTGTTTTTCGATGCAAACTTTACACGTTTAAAATTGTTAGTAACATTCATCCAATCAAAGATAGTTCCTAATTTTATAATTTCTTTGGTTTAAACCCAAGTAATCTTCTTGTGCTGTAAATCTAATATATAAATATATTCATGTAGAGCTGAGCACTTAAATACTTTTCTTCCTTATCATTAACGGTAGAGGAGAGGTAGAGGATCCAATACTTAATGATCTTTCTACAGGGACACAGGGATATATATTTCTCTCCCAATCTTGAATATTTTACCGCCTTTCACTAACTATACCGACTGATTCTCCCAACAACTGAAGTGTTTAAGTGGCACGTTTTTTTAAGGTTCCTTGGGACATTTAGGAATAAAAGACCCGGTTTTCAAAGTTTTCGTGAAATTCGAACATATGTATCTCAGAAGACAATAAAACTGTGAACAACTTCTACTTAACCTTCGACCAATTTTGCTTACAAAACATCCAATATACAAACATACAAAACAATATTCTCTTAACTTTTCTTTAAAGTAGTTGTAAATAATTATTTAGATATTTAGATATTTAGATATTTAGATATTTAGATATTTAGATATTTAGATATTTAGATATTTAGATATTTAGATACCTTTCTTTGTGACTTCTTGGCTTTGGAAAATTTCGTTCATATTTAAACCAAAACAATTTAGGTTTTCACATATTCTTGCTTTTTCATTGTTGGATCGTTTTTTAACTTTTTTTCTGCGGCATCCATCTTATTTTTGGCGTCAAAAAAGGTTTCACGAAAAGAAATTGCAGACATTCGGTTTAGCCGTATTTGTAGCCCTGGACACGTACATTTTAGAACTACGACAAGCTTGTTTTCTAGCTTTAGTTTAAAAGGAGTAATTGGCAAAATCCTGGTTAATTTTTGTTTGGTTGACTAGTGTATACAGCTGTACTGGTATTGAATTATTAAGGCGTGTAAAGTGTTGGTATAGACTGGGAAAGTTTCAACTTGATTGCATCAATATCGAGTTCAGATACTTTCATAGAATTGCACATTTTGTCCCTTTATTGTTTTCTTGAAATTATCTGATAATTCTGATGTAATTGAGTTTTCAACAAACATATTCATGCAATTGTAGGAGTAATTCTATCATTTGAAAAAAAAAATCATTCTGATTTTTTAGAAGGGGTGCATTTTTTCTTGAAAGTACATTTCCCCCCCTTCCCCTTTTGAAAATGATTTTTTTCTCTCTAGATAGCAGGGTTGTTTTTAGGGGTAAGCAATAGATAAATACAGAATTAAAGTTATGAAAGTTTTTAAAATTAGCCCCTATCACTGAAAACTTCATTCTAAGTTCTTTCAGACAGTTAGAACAAGTTGTACTGTATTCCTAAAGACTATAGCCGACAAAAAGTGACAGTACATTAAAATGAATCATCCCCTTCCACGTCAAACTAGAGTGACTTTAACGAAAGATTGAAATATTTCATGTTTTAATAAAAACTCCTTTTATTGAAGAGCTATTGAGAAGAGTCAACATGTTTTGGATTTCTAATATGCAACCGAATAAACCTGTTTTTCATGTACTTGTGCGTAAAATCAAAATCAGAGGAGTTATAAGGTCATAAACTCGGACCAGTAATGTCACATAAAATTTACCTTCTCCTTCTGTTCACAGTGCTTCTAGTGAGATTAATATGAAAAACGAATATTTATTTCTCAAAAAACTAGGTAAAAACTATAAGGTAAATAAGTTGGGGGGGAGGGGGGTGGGGGTTGAATGGCGCATATTGAAAACACATTCTTGAACCTTGAACTCTATGTTGAGCTAAAAGTCTAAACTATCAAATATTTTTCCTGATATTTGAAATTTTCTTATACATGGGTGGAGTAATGTTATGAAAAGATTGATTAATATTATATAATATATAGTATATATGTATATATCTATATATATTCTGCAGAAATTAATCTAATTTTGCTCAACCATCCAACACACTACTATTAATCAAAAGAATATATTTTTTCGATATTACTTGCCACCCCATGAGGTTTTACTTTTAGTTTTCATTCCAGATTTTTGTACTGTACAAGTATTTTTCTCTAAAAAATTAGCCCTTCGCATAAATTTCACTAGAAGGGGATTGTTCATCGTTTGTACTTGCCTGGTTTGCTTTATATTGTCTGTATGCGTACCGTACAGCTCTAGCAAGTTTAAAGTCTGCCCGGTACTTGAAATGAACCAGAGTTTCCAGTGCCCCTAAAGGAATTCATTAATATTTCCATGTAAAAAAATCCTAACTTCTTTTAGCTTTTTGGTATTATCACATAGAATTGAATTTGAACAATTTTATAAGCAGATATGTCATTTTTATTGAGTTAATACACTTTATATGGGCCATAAAAAATCTTAATTGGACTGCTGCAAATTTGAAAAAAGCCTTCTATTAAATTGAAATTCTTTTATTAATACAAATTTTCATAAAGATTAAAGCTAAAAACATTTTTTCTTACGAAAAGAAAGACGAAGCTAATTTGTACAGTTCTTTATATGGATACATTTTATTAATAAAAAGGAACTGATTTATAGTTTTCTAATACTCGTATCTTTACAATCTGATGTGTCAGACCTTTGATAGTTTAAGCTATAAATTCTGCCAGATCTGAAATATCAGAGATGTACACCATCAGGTTCCAAAGACATGAGATTAGAAAGTTTGAGGCGAGTGTTTAATCTCTATCCACTGAGTCGAAAAGATAAGATTCAAAAGAGTTTACGTGCACATTTCTTTTTTTTCCAGGTAGTCTAAATCAAGGCTCTTTTATCACATAATTTACGATAGGAAAATGGGAGAAAGAGACCTGAGCTTCTGTCACCATCTATCAAGTGTTGTTACAAAATGATTTATAATCTTTATCAATTGCATTTGTCTAATTCACAACTTATACAAATTCAAATAAAAACATTCATTTTTCTGCAGTAACAATTTAAAATTATAGCAGATATTACAAAACACAAGTACATAAATGTATGTAAAATTACTCCAGTAGGAGAACCTAAATCCCAAAATCCGTAAATCATTGGCTTGAAAAAATTTTAAATGATAAATTATTAAAACCAAGTAATTTGAAAATTTATAATTACAACAGTATATTTTACATATATGTTTAATAGAAAAACTGAAAGATTATTTACAAAATACGATTTTTTTGGTATGCTTTAATAAATACAATTTGCTTTTGTTTAGATGTGATCCGTGGAGTGGGGAGTGTATTTGTAAACCTGGCTATGCTGGAGTACATTGTCACAGGTAATATCCTACATGGGAGCGTATTTGTAAACCTGGTTATGCTGGAGTACATTGTCACAGGTAATATCTTACATGGAAGTGTATTTGTAAACCTGGTTATGCTGGAGTACATTGTCATAGGTAATATCTTACATGGGAGTGTATTTGTTAACCTGGTTATGCTGGAGTACATTGTCACAGGTAATATCTTACATGGAAGTGAATTTGTAAACCTGGTTATGCTGGAGTACATTGTCACATGTAATATCTTACAAGGGAGTGTATTTGTAAACCTGGTTATGCTGGAGTACATTGTCACAGGTAATATCCTACATGGGAGTGAATTTGTAAACCCGGTTATGCTTGAGTACATTGTCCAGGTAATATCTTACATGGGAGTGTATTTGTAAGCCTGGTTATGCTGGAGTACATTGTCACAGGTAATATCTTACATGGGAGTGTTTTTGTAAACCTGGTTATGCTTGAGTACATTGTCCAGGTAATATCTTACATGGGAGTGTATTTGTAAACCTGGCTATGCTGGAGTACAGTGTCATAGGTAATATCTTACATGGGAGTGTATTTGTAAACCTGGTTATGCTGGAGTACATTGTCATAGGTAATATCTTACATGGGAGTGTATTTGTAAACCTGGTTATGGTTGGAACTAAATGTTAAGGGGTTAATGTGCAGCTATGTTCTTTTTCCTCGGCATTTTTTTCGAAAATGCTTAAAATTTCATTTTTTATAGACACCCTGTATTTAACCTGGATTATTGAACTACATATATTATAGTCTGAACTCGAGTTAGTCTTGGCAGCTCTGTTCATTGCGAAAGAATTAGGTTTGGCACAGAACAGAAGACTCTAAAGAAAGTTCACACATCTTTAATACATTTCAACTTTGATTTAATCTCTGTTAATTTCAGTTGATGTTGATATTATATATTTATTTTTATTATTTTGATGTATACATTACGCTCTTAGATTTACAATTCAATCATAGCACAATTAGTTTTTTTCTAGGTGCGAAACTGCTGAACAGTTTTTAATAATTTTTGCAAAATCTGTAACACTGTATATCCTTATACGGTGTCCAATATATACTTTATATCCCTAGACCGTGTCCTATAAACACTTTATATCCCTAGACCGTGTCCTATATACACTTTATATCCCTAGACCGTGTCCTATATACACTTTATATCCCTAGACCGTGTCCTATATACACTTTGTATCCCTAGACCTTTCCTATATACACTTTATATCCCTAGACCTTTCCTATATACACTTTATATCCCTAGACCGTGTCCTATATACACTTTATATCCCTAGACCGTGTCCTATATACACTTTGTATCCCTAGACCGTGTCCTATATACACTTTATATCCCTAGACCGTGTCCTATATACACTTTATATCCCTAAACCGTGTCCTATATACACTTTATATCCCTAGACCGTGTCCTATATACACTTTATATCCCTAGACCGTGTCCTATATACACTTTATATCCCTAGACCGTGTCCTATATACACCTATGGATCCCGGTGTGAAAGTCTCTGCTCCTGTAAGAACGGAGCCTACTGTAATGGAGTGGATGGTTCCTGTGCATGCAGTCCAGGCTGGTTGGGACAGGCAGGATATATGTTCTTTAATCAATCAATTAATCAATTAGTTAAATAATAATATAATAAAAATAACCTAATGAGGAGTAGAGAGAATGAAAAGGTTATTGTTTACAATTTTCTGAGAACTTGTAAACAATATAAAGTGAGCAGGGCAGACCGTTTCTTATTAATCTATTCAAGAGCAATACTTACACATCAGAAAAGAATGTAAACAAATCTAATTCCCCTCTTCTTAGTTCTACATCTCCTGAGTCTAAAACTAAAGAACGAAAAGTTTTGAGTTAAATTTTAAGTATATGGTTAAATGCAACTTCTGACTTAATTTAAACCTGAACTTTAACCGTGAGGTTAAATATTTAACCCTGTGGTTAAATATTTAACTCGCCGAAATCGACGAGTTTAAATTTAAACACAGGTTTAAAATCTTGAAATCCTGCATTCCCCTATTTGTCTATTATTCAATCATCATTCAGCTGCAGTTTTCGGTTACGTAAGAACAGCTGATTAGCGATGGTTATGTAATATTCTCCATAAATCCTTTTCTCTGATTGGTTCAGATTTTTCCCGGGAAATTCAAATTTAAAATTGAGAAAGTTTAATATTTAAGTAGCTACTCATTATTTTACAGAACTTTTAACCTCGAACTTAAAATTCGCGTATTCTTTAGTTTTAGACTCTGGAGTTGAATATTATCTAATTTTATAATTTACAAAAGTTTCTTTAACTTAAATATTTTGTGTACATAAGCTACAGCTAAAAATGGGAAACTACAGAGCCCAAAACTTAAGACAGGGTATCGTTATAAAACCCAGTATCGGAATCCCGGTTTCAGGCAATTTTGTAGATATCAAGATTTTTGTGTAAGAAATATTAAATATGATATCCATGGTTGGTTTTATATTCTCTTTTTTTTAATGTAATTCTACATAAAAAGGATCTACTCGGGGGTTTCGGTACGATACTACTTTAAGTTTCTGCCTCAGAATGTTGCATTGTACACTTACAGTACAAACAACAGGGTACAGTGAAAACTGAAACACTTTCTTTCAATTCCTTGTAGAATTTTTTGTCATTTTCTAAAATGAGTTTAATTTGATAACTGATTGCATTTGGCTCTTTTTGAAAAGCTTTTCACTTTCTTTTAAAATTTGGTGATTTATATTACATACAGTCAGAGAAAGATGCAATTTGAAAGTTATAAAGTTTTGGTTTATTTTGTGACCTGTTTTGTTAAACAAAAAACTTGTTTTTATTGCGGGTTTTAAAACTTTTGTGATAACAACTTGTAGTTTTTTAATATTCTTGTTTTCTTCATAATTGCATACATTTTGCATTGGCTTTATTCTTCTTTCTTGCTTTAAAGGGACTGTTAGCTTAATTTTAAAGTTATTTTTCATGCAAATTTGCACTGCAAGATTCACAACGGTACCCTAAAAAGCTGTGATCAAGTATCTTTTAGTATTATTGTTAAAAAGAAAGCTGTATGATCAAGTATCTATTAGATATCTATGTTAATAAGAAAGCTGTATGATCAAGTATATATTAGATATCAATGTTAATAAGAAAGCTAAATATTTTCAATTGTGAATTCTCTACCAAGTGATTGTTCATTTCTACTGTAGGACATTTTTGATGATCACAATTAAACACTTGGAAACCTAGAAAAACGACGATATCTTTTACATTATTGTTCAAATAAAGGTTTCAATGGTATCGTTGTGAATCGGGCATTGTCAGCTTTGCATGGAGAGTCACCTAAAATTTTGCGTACAGTTCCTTTAGGCTTTAACTGCACCCAATATGGGTCCTTTTATTTCTAAAACTTATTACTTATTATTTTTTCGCACGCAAAAAACATTTTATTAAAAATAAAATACTTGGTTTGTCTTCATGAAATGTCTCAATTTTAGATTTTCTAAAAAACGTTGACTTCAAAAATTAAACAACATTCTCACTTAATCCTATCATAATGATCGTTTTGTGGCTCAAATGTTGATTTTTGGCATTGCAAAAAAGTCAATGTTAATATCTACACCCTTTTATTTGCCCGATTTTAGGCTAGATTATTTCTTTGGCGGCAAGTATTTTGTGTTTACTAAAGTTTTAAGTTAAAATATATGGCAGCTGATATAATTTTGTTTGTGTTACATGTCTGATTCACAACGGTACTCTTAGCAGCTTTTTCCAGTTAAGCATGTTAAGGTATCCACTATTTTTATAATAATGTAGGAAATTGTTGAAATTAATATTTTCCTTATTATCGTTTAGATAAAAGTTTTGAATTACCGTTGTGAATCGAGCATCTCCCTTTTCTTATTTTATTTTTTTATTTAAATGAAAGTTTAAATTCCCCTATAAAGTATTCCTATTCCACAAGGTTGGATTGAATTGAATTATTGAATTTGATATTTACCAAAAGTTGGATTGTTGATTCCAGACTTCCAATACTGGAGTTTATCAGGAGACTAGTGCTGGGAACACCAGTACTTTTTTAATCTATTCCTTGGCGTTAGTTTAATTAACTACCCTGAAGACTAGTGCTGGGAACACCAGCACTTTTTAATCTGTTCCTTAACGGTTAGTTTAATTAACTACCCTGAAGACTAGTGCTGGGAACACCAGTACTTTTCAATCTATTCCTTGGCGGTTAGTTTAATTAACTACCCTGAAGACTAGTGCTGGGCACACCAGTACTTTTCAATCCGTTTCTTGACGGCTGGTACCTTAACTAATCTAACATGCTAATCTATGTAGTAACCGCTACCTTTTTTCATTGTTAATAAAATTTTCTATTGTTTTTAAAACATTTCCGTTCGTTAATAGAATATTTCTTTGATTTTTTAAAACCCTTCGTATCAAATTTTATGTTAATTTTCGAAAATTTCTGATCGTTAGTAAAATTTTCCGTTAAGTTTTTAAAAACTTTCGTTCGTTAACAGAATTTTCCGTTAATTTTGAAAAACTTCCGTTAATTAATAGAATTTTCATTAACTTTTAAAAATTCCGATAGTTTTCAAAAATTTCCTTCGTTAACGGAACTTCGGCCAGCACTAGATTTATCAGTCTCCTGACTCCAAAACATAGAAATAAATAGAATCCACGGAAAGCTCTACTTGTTAAAAAAGTATATAGCAATGTCTAATTTCTTAGTTCTAATTTGAATTCTATCCAACTTTACAACATTTTGCTCAACTTATTCTAATTTATTCTCTTTTCGCTTTTTTCTGTTCTTATATTTCTTAGCTTTTGTATTATCATAATGATACTTAATTTAACCCTTTATCTGATCTTAAATGTAGAAGATATTGTTGAAAAGTGTCTCTTTTTAAAATTTCCTTCATTGTTTCTAAGGCCTAATTCCGCAAGTTAATTTCCATAAAGAATCCACAATTGAAAAATAATCATTTTAAAGTAAACAATCATAGATATCTCATTTGTTCTTGATCATTCAAAGTTTTTATAGGTAGTGTTGTGAATCAGATATGCCTTTTCTGTAAACGTTATTGATTTTAACTGTATTAAGGATTCTGTTAGATATTTTTTTAGAACTTTATAGTTTGACATTTGTTTTATCTTGCTTAGACGTTAATAATTTAAATAACAATTCCTTTAAGAGTTTAGGAATTGGAATCTTTATTTTTAAATTTTGAGAGCTCATAAAGCTGAAGAACATACTTCCCTGCTAGGACTGTAACCAAACCTGTATTGCTGGCAAATATGGAAGAGATTGCAAGTAAGTTTAGAAAAAAAATAACTTATTAAATAGTATTGATAATTTGCTTCAAACCCAAATTTTTTAACGATTTTGGAGCCTGATACCGTTGGTATTTTGAATTATAAATTCTCCCAGATCAAGTAGTCAAAGTTAAAGTAATAAGGGTTTACACCATCAGGTTGCTAAGATATAAAATTTAAATTCTGCTACAAAACTTTAGAATATCAATGGTTTATAAAATATAGATTATATTAAATCAGATCCTGTTTTTAGATATGATTGTGAGTGTAAGAATGGGGCAAAGTGCCACCCTACAAGTGGAAAATGTGACTGTTCACCTGGTTGGCGAGGTATATTCTGTGATACCCCCTGCTCTGCTGGTAGGTTTGGGAAGGAGTGTAAACAGGAGTGTCGATGTAGGAACGGGGGCTCCTGCCATCATATCACAGGTAAATAGGGTGTGTACACCCCCCCCCCCCCATATAATTAATCACATTAGGAGGTACTGCATTTGGTCCATCGTTCCGTTTTGTCTTCTATAGTCTTTTTGCATAACTGTACAATTACTTAAAGGTCTGTGCGGTACTTTAAATGAACCACATTTACAGACCCCCCCCCCCCCCTTTAAAATAATTGGGGCCATTTTGACTTATCTAAAAATCTGTTTGCCCCCACCACCTGAGCCTAGTAAATTAACTAAATTAAACGTAGATATTCTAGATTTTACATCCTATAAAAAGAAATATAGGAAGGTTACTAACTTCGCATTTTCAAGAAAATGTCGAATTATTTTTAGCATTATTTTAAAAATAATGCTTGGCTACTATAGCTAACATATAGATATATGAGCAAAGAGCTATTATCTATATAATGAAACAAGACATTCATATATATGTTGCTATAGCCGGCCAAACGGCTAGACCGACTGGGCTGACATTTTTTGTGGATACTCATGTGTAGCTATAGGCAAAAGGTAAAGGCTAAAAATCGATTTTTTTTCAAATTTTTTTCCACAGGCAACGCCGGGCCCTCCAGCTAGTTATATATATATTACTGTACTGTACAGGAAATTATAAAATAATTCTCAATTTATTACTTGGAATTACCAATTAAGTAATTGTAATGGTGAATCATTCAGTAATTATTGCACAATCGCTAAGAAGTTGCAGTTAGTTTTAATGCAGAATTGCAAAAAGCACTGCAGTAAGTTTCTATTAAAGAAATGGCTAATTATGTTATAAATGTTTGAATAAAAGCCCTTCACAGACCCTTCCTATGTAATTTGGTGCATCATCAGGTTGGATTTTCTTGCAAACTTTCTTGTCAGTCCTATTCGAAATTATTTCTCCATTAAGTTTTTGTTTTTCCATTAATGTGTTCCCTAAAGTATAGTTAGGATAGGAGAGCCTATTACTGGAATCATTCCATATAAATGGGAAAGTGGTAATAGTGGAGGATTTCTTACATCAGACAAACCCAGGATTACAGATAGGTCTGAGCTGGATTCTAACAAACAAAACATAAAGATTTGTCCAAACATTAATTTTTCCACTTCCCGACTTTTTGTTGGAACTCAAAGGTCGACGGGAGGCAACGGTCTAAGTATTCAGTTTCTTCTATTTGAATTCAATCACGGTTTGGACTATAATTCAACAATCTTTAAGCTTACGGAGTTGTCTTTTTTTACTTTTCATTGAAAACGCATATGTCGACAAAAATGTAAAATAAAGAAAAAGCGACAAAGGGACTGTAAGCGTAATTTCAAGTAACCCTTCCTGCATTTACAACGTTACCCTTAAAAGCTTTGTATAATTAAGTATGAATTAGAATTAGATATGCCTAAGGTTGTAATGCAAGGAAAGTTATTTCAGAGGTGTACGCATTTTTTGTACTTTGGTGGTGTAGTATCTTTGGCTGGAAAAGTAAACACAAGACGGATGTTACAGCCTGACTGGAATCCATTTTCACAAAAATAATCTATAAAATATTCTGGTCATAGAAAACTATTATGTGAATTTTCAAAATGAACAAAATTAAATGCTTTTATCTTCCTCGGATACTAAACGAACACTGATGCATCTATTCTTGTTTACAAATTCCGCCCTGAGAGAATTAGTTTCAATATGTACGCAGAGTATACGGGACCACAATTAACTTTACTTGCATTAGTACCTTGAATATGCCACTCATTTCATTCAATCTTGCAGTTTACGTGAACCGTTAAATCCGCGTGGGTTGATAACTCAGTGGTCGACGGGAGGGAAGAATTAGATACTCATTCCAAGAAACCATCTGCTGGGTTGAAACTTTTCCATGGAAAACTTTGAATATTCGTGTTTATCCGATGAAAGATGAAATAGAAACTTTGACTGTTTGACAAGAGAACAAAGTTTCTGTTGTGCTGAGTTGCTTTTCAAGAGTTTAGTGAAAATGTAAAAAGTGCCGGGAGGGGGGGGGGGGGGGGCTGACAAGTTAACTTCTAATCTCACATTGCAGAGCCTGCTTCAAGATCAGACTCTTGAGAGGGAAAATAAACAAAAACATTTATTGTTAAAAATAAATAAATATTCTGCCACCATTCTCTCCTTAACTTCTATATATTTATAGATTCAGCAAGCCAGCGCTAAACATGAAATAAATATTATCAAATATATTCTATTCTTGTTGAAATATTAACATTTGAACAAAATAATGAAAATGAAATTTATTTAACTAATTAATTAAAGTACGAATATACATTGGTTTAATTTATCAAAGAAACTGAGTTCATGCCACAAACTCTAATTTTCTAGTCAATGTATCTTTTCAAACTCACAATGAAAACCTTTGATATTTAAAACTATTTGATAAAACAGAATTCCTAAACGATATCTTCATCATTATTACATTGAAAAAATATAGGTTTAATTAAGGGTTCAGTTGTGCATAGGGCGTGCCTCTCTTTAACTAAAAACAATTTTATTTATTTAATTATTTAATTTCTGATTACAGGTGAATGCACGTGTCCAGCTGGTTACAAGGGTAGAGAATGTGAGATGGGATGTGAACGCGGCAGATTCGGGATTAACTGCGCTTACTCCTGTGACTGCAACGAAGGAAACTATTTATAAAATATTTTTTTGTAAAAAGAAACTGATAACTCGCATCGAACTCTTTCTTCTAATCCCTATATCTTTGCAACCTGAGGGTGACTATTTAATCTAGCAAAATTCATAGTTAGAGTTTAGACATTCTAGGTCAACGACATCATATTTCAAAAGAATTGAGTCTTAACCACTACTCTGCTGTTAATATTTCAAACTATGCATTCTGTTAGATCACACAATAAAAAATTAAAATATCAAAGGTTAACAACATAAAGTGCAAAGATATAAGGATAAGAAAATCTGAGTTTGTGACAAAGAATCAATTCCTTCCTAACAGGGGACATAACAACTTGTCTTATGGGGTCTTATGGTAAAATTAATAATGTATAAAATAATAATTTCTCCGAAAACCTATTTATTTATGGTTGCAAAAGAACACCTGGCCATCTTAACTCATTAATCCTGAAAACAGAATGTTGGGATAAAAGAAAGGTTCTAATTATGGTTACCTGGGAGTTATTAATGAAAAGAATTTGTTTGTTTTACTGGTTTCCTTGTATATTGTTTACCTAGCTGCAGCATGAAATGTGTACCTAGCTAGAACTAAGGATGGGCATCGGTCTGCATTTTTTTCTCTCAACCCGATCGTTTTCCGTTTTCAGTGTTCATACGTTTTGCTTTCTAAACGAAACGGTTTATTTTCAAAACAATCTTTTTGTAATTTTCAAATGGTTTTTATGTTTTGATTTTTAGCCAATAGGTTCGACAATTTGAAAACGAGTTTTAAAACAACGAAAGTGCCCATCCCTAACTAAAACCCACTGTGTGCTGTGTAACCATATTACTGAGCAATTACTATTCTTTAAACTGATTATACAGCTTCTTATTACTTGTCAGTGATGTGCAGTGAGAACCAGAAAATTGTAAAATAGGAAGACGACATTAGAGCAAAATTTATTTGTATTTGATCTTGTTAAATAGCATTATTTTAACTAGAAGTTTGAAATATCTTTTCAACGTGAACTGTATAGTTGCTGTGTCTCAAATTCAATTTTAAATCATAGCTTATGGCCAAAAGTCGTCCTCCTATTCCACAGTTTTCTGGTTCTCTCTGTATTTATTCATGGTTTTAAATATATAAATAAATAAATATTGCTTTTATGCAAATATTTTCTCTTTCTTGTTTTTAGCCACATATACAGATAGAGTTAAGTCATGCAATAAAGTAAACTAATAATTACCTTTTTAAGGACTGGCATGTAGACGTAATTTCAAATAGATTTATAGAGTGACATTTTCGATTTACAATGGTACCCTTTGTCTGATCAAGAACTAAATTATCACTATACTTCTGGAGTTTTACTGAGGAGACAAATAAGAAAATTATCAGAGGGACAATTTAAAATTACGCCACCAGTCCCTTTAAGGGGTAGGAATTACTAAAATTACCGATAAAAAAAACATGTGTTTCTCTGGATTTAGTTCTAAGAATTTATAAATGGTTGTGTAGTGAATTCTAACGGTTGTGATCCTGTAACGGGAACATGTGTTTGCAAACCGGGATGGAGAGGTAACAATTCACGTTAAACTAAATATAACTATTCAACGCACGGTAAACTAAAGGTCCTGGTTTAAAGTGTAATGAGCCTTAACTTGAGAAGCCATTTTCACCCATAAATGTTAATTTTTCGTATTTGCTATTTTATATCTTTTTGTTTGACTGAGTTTTCTAAGTAAACTAGCCTTAGAGGGCGCTTCGCGCCTATCTTCTAAATTAATTGTGAACATGTTCTCTTTGTGTACATCGTAAAACAAAACAAAAATAATTCGCGGATTTTCACAAAAAAAATTTGGTGGATTTTCAAAATTTTCAAAAATTTAATGAAGATCGAATTTTGATGGAGACAAATATTTGAAATTTTGATCATTCATAAACCTTCCCTGGGGTCCCTAGATGTCCCACACAAAATTTGGGCCCGATCGGTTCAGCCGTTTTGACGTTTATTGGATACAAACAGACAGACACCCAGACAAGTCAAATTTATATATAGATAATAAGTAATTAAGACTATTTGTGCGATTTAACTCTTGATCCGCTTTTGATCAGAGGTCACTAAAGTAAAATGGACTATATCGCTTCAAAACAAATGTTTCTGTTGTGGAAATCTAGTTCATTTAGCGCATTCTTATAAAGTTGTGACCTCACTATCATGTTTTTATTTGTTTCAAATATCTTTAAAACCACATTTTAGAAATTAAACAAAGGAAAGAATAAAGAAAAGCAAATTAAAATGATATCTTAAGTTAGACCTTTTTGCACACAGAGCTTCCGTTAAAAATTTGAAATTTAATTTTAAAATGAAATAGTTTAAAACTATGAAATCATAAGCAAAGCAAAAGTAAACCCCTCAGATTCCTGAACATAAATGAAGGTATTTTCAGCAAAGCATAATTTAGTTGTTTTGTGCATTTTAACACGAAAATTACATTTAAGTAAAAATATTTTGCAAACTGTAAGCTTTTTCAACAAAAGTAAATTATAAATTAAATTGACAAAAAGTTATTTTAATGGGAGTGTTCACTGTTTAGGTCAAAAATGTGATTCTATCTGTGAGGTTGGAAGATGGGGTTCAGACTGTACATCTAGATGTAATTGTATGCCAGGTAACCAATCATAATCTCCGTCATAAAAATGTCTTTAAAATCCCATACATTTTTTGTAAAATGTGAAAAAAATGTCATAAAAATGACATAAAAATGGCTTTGAAATGTCATAAAAATGAAACAGGTAAAAAGGGAACTTTTGTGTGGATATTGTTAATCTTGAATGCTTAATATCGATATCCAATGTGGACACCTTTGAATTTAAGGATTAACATGCATTCCCTCAAATAAAGTTAGCCTTGCATAGTATCATATCGAAGAGAAATTAATATTCTGTAGATCTGTATTAAGCGCCAGCTTGTATCTTGAAACATTGAATACGATTTTAAGAGGAACCAACCATATTTGAATTTGAGCCGCGGCTTAAATTTAAGCCGACTGAAAGATGATCTGAAACTCTCCAAATCCGACGATTATTAAGATCAGGCATAGAAAGAAACAAGTTTACATTGCAGAGAATAAAAAATATAAGGAAACAGACAGTACAGTCGTCTCTCAAGCCTAATCCTATGTGGGTAACATTGTAGCAAAATATCTGTATTTTCTTAAAAAGCTTTTTTTGTTAAAAAGTGTCAAAAAAAGGGATAATGAATATTCATGGTTTCTATAAATAAAACTAATTTTTGCAAATTCCTGAAATGTTGTAGTAATGGTCACGGTTGAATTTATCATAACAAATATTTTCAACAGAAAATAGAAAATTGTTTCAATATAATAAATACTATATATTTAGATTCAAGATAAATCTAGATTTTAAAGGGAGATTTTTTTACGAGATTTTTAAGAAATATATTTCATAGATGGGAAATTACATGGATAAGATAAGATAAGATACAGTTTATTGCTAACACATACAAGTTATATTGTTACAGGCAAAAAATCTGCAACTATTTTTATATTGTTCACTATATGTATGTAATTATAGCAATTAGGTGGAGATTAGCTATTTTCTATATCCCTACCTATAAGACACACTAGTTACAAAGATAAGTTAGAATAAAAATAAAGAACAAAGTAGATTGTCTTTCTCTATTACTTTCTTAGGGTGGAAATTTTTAGGTATACTTTTTTCTGTCCCTAATCTATAAGAATTTCTTTCTGTTCATTAAAATAAAGGGACCGTAAGAGTAATTTCAATCAAGGGACCCTCCATATACAGATGTCAATGCCCGATTCACAACGGTACTCCTATACGCTTAATCTGACCAAGTTTGAATTACTTATCAATGTTTAAAACTTTGAAAACTGATTATTTTTAATTTTATAATTACGTTTTTAATTTGGAAAAATAAGGACAAAATGTTTGAAATGTACTGTTAGAAATTGAACATTGTCATATTTGCATGGAAGGTCACTTGAAATTACGCTTACAGTCTCTTTTAACATCCTAGCTTTAAAATGCAATTATTTTTAAATATTCGCAAACTCCTTTATTTGATATATAGGAAGCTCGTGTGATCCTGAGACTGGTCAGTGTAGCTGTGTCCCTGGATTGTCTGGATCTAAATAAACTCCTAAATTTAGGAAGCTCGTGTGATCCTGAGACTGGTCAGTGTAGCTGCAGCCCCGGGTTCTCTAGACCTAAATAAACTCCTGTATTTAGGAAGCTCCTGTGATCCTGAGACTGGTCAGTGTAGCTGCAGCCCCGGGTTCTCTAGACCTAAATAAACTCCTGTATTTAGGAAGCTCCTGTGATCATGACCTAAATAAACTCCTATATTTAGGAAGCTCCTGTGATCCTGAGACTGGTCAGTGTAGCTGCAGCCTATGGTTCTCTAGACCTAAATAAACTCCTATATTTAGGAAGCTCCTGTGATCCTGAGACTGGTCAGTGTAGCTGCAGCCTATGGTTCTCTAGACCTAAATAAACTCCTATATTTAGGAAGCTCCTGTGATCCTGAGACTGGTCAGTGTAGCTGCAGCCTATGGTTCTCTAGATCTAAATAAACTCTTATATATAGGAAGCTCCTGTGATCCTGAGACTGGTCAGTGTAGCTGTGCCCCTGGATTCTCTGGGCCTAAATGTGATATACATTGTCCTAAAGGATTCTATGGAATAAACTGTAGACAAGCTTGTCCTCCCTGTATAGCAAGTAAGTTACTTGAATACGGCACAAACATAGATCTAGCCTCGCTTCAAACTAAAGTAATTGTACGTAAGATTAAATCTATGGTTTTAATCATAACTCCTCTTATTGAAGAGTTATTGAGATGAACAAAAATGTAACCTTTCACATGTCAAACTAAGAGTCCTGTTGGATCAACACTTGAAATATTAAAGGTTCAAATATCAGCTGTTTAAAATTTAAGATATATTTGTTTCGAAAATTAGAATTTGTTGTGAAGTTCCGTTGCATGGAAACATTGAACAATTCAGATCAATTATTTATCATTGTCAGGTCTAGTGCTCAAGATTGTTCACATAAGTTCAGCCCGCCTAATTTTGTTAAAACGCGTTTGGTAAACCACATAGCGGGTACACTAGACGAGCTGGTACGAGTAAACACTAGAAACGTCTATCCTTGTACCGGTTTGGATCCAGTGCTTTATTTGTGTGTAGAAAATGTAGAAAATGTAGAAAATGTAGAAAATGTGACTCTAATCCTTTCTAAAATTGGTTGATTAGATTGCTTCTTACACTGAGGAAATAGTAAATAGTTTTAGACAACTTCTCACACTGTTTTCTCTTAGAACTCCTTGTTAACTTAATTTCACAATACTCTCGAGTCATCCTTGTCATGCCAATTAAAGTTCAATAAAAGGGATTGTAGACGTTATTCCAGTTACCCTCTATATGCATGCACATCTTACAATGCTACCATACGAAACTTTGACTGAACAATAATGATAGAAATATTTGTTCTGTTAGAAATATTTGTTCGATAGAAATATTTGATCTGATAGAAATATTTGTTCTGATAGAAATATTTGTTCTGATAGAAATATCTGTTCTGATAGAAATATTTAATCTGATATAAATATTTTTTCTGATAGAAATATTTGTTCTGTTAGAAATATTTATTCTAATAGAAATATTTTTTCTGATAGAAATATTTGTTCTGATAGAAATATTTGTTCTGAGATAAATATTTGTTCTAATAGAAATATTTGTTCTGTTAGAAATATTTGTTCTGAGAGAAATATTTGTTCTGATAGAAATATTTGATCTGATAGAAATATTTGATCTGATAGAAATATTTGGTCTGATAGAAATATTTGATCTTATAGAAATATTTGTTCTGATAGAAATATTTGATCTGATAGAAATATTTGTTCTGATAGAAATATTTGTTCTGAGAGAAATATTTGTTCTAATAGAAATATTTGTTCTGAGAGAAATATTTGTTTTTCTCAATTATTAATTACGGGAATTTTTAAATAAGTGACTTGCGGATTGTATGCAGTAGAGACAAGTTCAAAGAACGAGCTTGTCTGTTAATGATTTAAAAAAAAACAATCGTATTTTCCTCAATTGTTACTCAGATATTGTTTAAAGGCTACTCTTGTGAGTTGAAATATATTTACAAACATAAAATTGCTATAGAAATTAGAAACTATGAACTATTTGATTTTTTCTTGAAAAGAAGTTGAATCTTGTCATAAGCTCTAAATTTCTAATCCTTATATCTTTTCCAATCCAATATTGTAGACCTTAGATACTTTAAACCATGATTTTTTTGATCAAATAATTAAAGTTTGAAATATCTACGATATCGTGTTTTAGAAAATATGAGTTTGTGGCAAAGACTCTATTCAATTGTTCCCAACAAAACTTTTTTATTTCTTAAATAAAATGCAAAAGAATTTCCCGTAGGCAAAAAATATATATACTCTGAGAGGGAGATACAAAATATTTATTCTCCGACCTGTTCTAAATATTTAGCATGGCTTCTTTAAAATATTTTCTTGAGTTTTGTTGAGTGTGTTAGAAATGTCATTATTCCAGGATCTTTTTAAAGATAATCTAATCTTCTACCCTCTTAAGCATTTTCTTATATTTCCACGGCAATAAAAGTAAAGTAATGCTTTCTTTATTTTGAACAATGATAATTTCCATGTTGTGTGTAGAAGCCAGCTTATTACCCTGAATCTAATTTTCATCTAGGTTATGGTGTTTGTGAACATAAAACAGGACAGTGTGAGTGTACTCCAGGATACATGGGATACTTCTGTATGGAACCCTGTCCTAGTGGAACCTATGGCAGGAGATGTATGGGAAGGTGGGCAGGGATATTTATTTTCTTAAAATTATTCCTTCCTAGGGTTTCCAGCAAACGAAAAATTTCGCGAAAAAATGCGAAAATTTGGTTCGTATTTCGCAAACTTTATAGCGAAATTTCGCATTTTTTCGCGAGAATGAAAAAAGCGAAAAATGCTAAAACAAAGCGAAATTTCACGGAAATTTTGCATTTCGCGGAATATGCGTTTTGTAATCTCAGAAAAATTATTGTTTTCATGAATTTTCGCCAAAATTTTGCATTTTTTTAATAATTCCGGATTTTTTAGCGAAATTTTCGCAGTATTTTTTTTCGCAAAACGTTCGCCTTTTTTCGCGAAATTTTCGCATTTCCTATTTCGCTAAAATTCGCATTTTTGAAGCAAAATTTCGCGAAAAAAACTAAATTTTTTGCATTTCTTGTGAATGAACGAAATGCGAAAAAATGCGAAAATTTTCGCGACACGATTTCCCTTTTTTGCTGGAAACCCTAAATTCCCTCCTTTTGACAAGTATTCTTTCTATTTTTATCAATTTATTATTCAATCAAAAAAACAGCTGAATATCCTCATATTTCTAATATTAAATACAAACCAGTCAACAACCAGTCCTTTCTATTTTATGGTTTTTTTTTGTGTTGGGTATTAGGGTTTTAATAACTGAATTGGGAAAATTAATAAAATTTTAAATATAAATATACCAAAAAGCTGTCATATTTCACCCCCCCGGCCCCACAGATCGTAACCCTGAAGCTACGGCTTAGGTTAGGCCTGAGATTAGCGTAAAGACCTTTCAAGTAACTGTTCGTTATTATCATATTATTTCATTTAGATGTGACTGTAAAAACAACGGCGACTGTTACCACGTGTCCGGAAGTTGTCGGTGTCCAGGTGGATGGATGGGAACGGACTGCTCCCAACCTTGTGCGCCGGGACGGTTTGGCCCAGGCTGCACTCATGACTGCTACTGCCATAATGGTAAGTGGTCGAAAAAAATGTTCGTAAGAAATATTTTAAAAGAAGAGGGATTGGTACTTATGCAATATGCATTCTGGTTTAAGGGACTTAATTTCTTACTTATAAGAAACAATAGAAAAATTCAAAGAAATTAAACTTTTCTAGTCAGAATGGCTACGATATCTTCCCCATTCTTGATAAGATTAAGGTTTCAAATATAGGCTGTTGTAAATCAGGCATAGCTATCTTTGCATGGAAGGTTACTTAAAATTACGCTTAAGAACTTTAAGGAGATTTTACATTCTACTTAGGCGTGTAAGGAGAAGGGACTGAGAACTGCTGTTATAGTAAACAGTGATTGATCAGGCCTAGGGGTTTCAGCGAAGACAATGAAGACAACTTTCTCTTTCAATTTTGATTTTTAACAAGCTTTCAAAACATATGAATACACATAAACATGGGCTCAAAGAGAAACTGTCTTCTCTTTGTTTACATTTAAACTTGAAAATTAAAAAAAAAAATCTCGCTGGAAATTAAAACTTGAAAATAAAAGTGTCTTCATTGTATTGATATAAAGGCAGACCACTGAAGTAATTTTTATTTGTATTTAATCTTTTTTTTTACTTTTTTTCTCATAATGCTTAAGACTGATTTGGTTGTGAAATCATTCTAAGTTAATTATCTTGTTTGTATAAAATTTGAAAGGAATAATATGAAGTTTTGTATTCCAGGTCAACAGTTTTATTTGTTGTTTACTATACTTTTATTTTTGTCAACCTCAACAAAATAATATTGTTAAACTTGAGATATTCGGAATAGAAAATATCCTTTTTTTCTCCCAAAAGAAGAAAAATATATTATTAATGCGGGGAAAGGAAGGAGAAGGGATGTTGAAAAATGAATTCTCAAGTTTGTAGTAAGAGATTACGAAGAGAAAAATGAGATTATATGGCTTGTTTACAACCAGTAGATAGAAGCTTGGTATTTTGGTCTTTTTCTACTACGAACTATTGGATGATTAATTTTAAAATACATGAGGAGACGCCGAGGTTTAAACCAAAAACCCCAATATCTTTGTTTCCATTTAAGCAGGGGTGGATATTTTCTTGTAAAATAATTCCCCCCTTTTTTAAAGTAAAATATGTTTACGCAGACATTTTTATGGTTTTATTCTCTGAACTTGGGAAAATAAATGTTTATTTGGTAAAAAGTTTAAAGGAAAGGATGACAAAAACTTGCCTTTTGATGTCCAATCGTATCTTCTTTTTAGCGATCATACATCCATATTCTGTTCCTCTCTTGTAGATCTATGCATTCTAATCCCTTGTAGACAAGGAAAAAACGTATTTTGACACATATTCTGCTTTTGTTTCTCTCTATTATTACGCATATTGCCCAGAGCTGCAGCTCTCTGTTTTTGCAATTTTCTTTTTCATACTAGTTTTCCAATTTGATATCTTGGGATATAAATTTCAAATTAAGTAGAATAGAAAGTTTTTATTTGTGTTCCATGCAGAGGTGTCAAATTTCTCTGACAGGTTATGTTGTGGATTGATAATACAGCTTTTTGATCCAGCTATTGTTCATATTTATTATGTATATTCTTACAGGTTGGAAAAATAAAAGTCACTGCTAAGCAGGGTTTGGAAATTCTAAGGATCCATTGTCAGAATTCCTCTATTATAATGACAAATGGTATAAGAAAGGTTAGGCAAGGAGTGTACATTAAGCTTTCAGTGAAGCAACAACTAGGTTTTCTTAGGCGCTTTTAAAAGTATTCAGAGATACAGGGTGAGAGAGAGAGAGAAAATGGCAATCTAGAGAAACTTTAGCCAGGGAAAATGGAAAAGAAAAAAATGGAACTACAAGTAACATGAAAGGCCTGCATTCATAATTAAGGCTGTATGAACCAGAAGAATGGAGGTTTTTTACCTAGCTGGATTCAGATTTTACTACTGGCAGCTTTAAATATACTCTTTAATAACAAGCCTGGTTAGCTGTTATTAAGTGTCCGAACCCATCGAAAGACGATAATTCTTTCAATTGTATCTGGTTCTATGTGTAAGCATCAAGATGTCAGTTCCATGTAATTGTACAAGTATCTGTCCGAAATCAGAGATGAACTTACAAGAATCAAGAATTCTTTTGTCGAAAATATTTAAAAAATCTGTAACTATAAGAAAGTAAGAAATAACGAGTGGTGTTAAGGAAAAACTGTCACTTTAAAAAGTTTAGGAACAGTTTACCGATGAATTATTAGTAATATTAGTTTTATCTGAATAAAGCTTTAATTCTTGAGTGAAGTTTAGCTTACAACTATTACGGGAATTTTTAAAAGGTTTTATTTTAGGACTAATAAAAATTGAGGATTTGTAAAAACTTGACAATAATCCTGTGCATTGCTAGCGGGATAATATAAATGCATTTTGATTGCAATAATTAAATCTAAGCTCTGAAAGGCTCAGCCCAGAGTTTATCTTAATCGTTTGTACATTTCCGAGCGGATTCTCTCAACTCTCTGCTAAAAACAATATTTGCTCCAATGCAAGAGACCGGATTTAAAGAATCTTTGTGTTGAAAAGGTCTCAAATTGTAAATATTGTGGCAAATTCTTTGCAATTTTTTCAAATATCTTCACCTTTACACAACCAGCCAGAAAGTAAGCCAGTTTGAAAGAATAAATAAACCTCAATGTTTTAATTTTTGTCGGCCTTATTTTGAGGAAATTATTAAAATATTTCTACTTATATGCTTTTAATTCTTTAAAAAAACTTATAACTGTGCCATTCAAGTCTTAATTAAATATTATTTGTTTAGGAGCCAGTTGTAACCCTGTGGATGGACGTTGTAAATGCCAGCCTGGGTATACTGGGACACGGTGCTCTCAACTCTGCCCTGAAGGATATTTCGGACAGGTAGGTCGTTATCTTAAAGCCGCCATTTTGAGTCCGACGTCATGAATCTCTGATCTTGAATGCGCCATTTTAAATCCGCCATCTTAAAATCTCCGATCTCAAATCCGTTATGTTTACATTGAAATCTTTATTCCGTCATTTTTTAACTTTTAAGTTTTTAACAATCCAATCTGCATTTAGGAATCAAACCATTTTAATATATGTTTGTGATATTTTTATTGAGATCATAATCTTCAGATAAAGCATAACCCCCGAAATAAATGTGATTAAGATAAACCCTCATTGTTTGTTAAAATGATAGAACATACTAATATATTTTATAAATGTACATTATTATACGTGTATAGTATACACAATGGATCAGAAAATGCCAAACAACAATTTTTTTATATAATAGACAATTCCTTTAAGTGATTGTTTCTCGTTTTATAGGACTGTGAGCATGCTTGTCAATGCCTTGGCTCAAACTACCTGTGTCATCCAACCCTAGGATGTGTCTGCCAACCCAGCTATCACGGTATTTATAAATATTGATTTTTCAGTTTTTAAAATCCGCGAATTATAATTTTAAATATTAAGATGGAAATGATGACTATGCAGTTTAAATTAATTCATCGTCTGGTGAGGCAAAGGGTTTCTGTTAGAATGTAAAAGGATTTATTAATTAATTGAATGGATGTTTAATTTATTACTCTGCGGGTTAATTAAAAACCTAGTTCTCTCCTGTCTACTGTCTAAATTGTAAAATTTAGAATTAATCTCAGGATTTCAGCTGCCGCCATTCTTTTTCAGTTCTAACAGAAACACATTAAACCTTCTTCAGGTTTTTTTACGTCTTTCATACTGAGTTTTACAAGCGTAATAAAAGAATTTAAGTTATTTTCTTTTTAAAAAGATGTTTTTTTTTGCGGGAGACAATTTAAATCTTCACTGTTCAGTTACATATTACATTAATTAATTCTTAAATCCCTTTTTCAGAAAATTTTAAAACATATGTTGCTATCCCTTTTCGTTCTAGATGTTGTTTCTTTATCTCAAATTTTGAATTTCACAACATTTTATTTAACTCTTTTTTTCCTAAAAACTTAATTTTAAGCTCTGGACTGAACACTTGACACAAACTCTAATTCAAGAATACCTTTATCTTTGCGAGTTAAACCTTTGCTATTTCAAATTTTAACTGTTTGATCTGGCAGAACTCAAAGTTGTATCAAAGGTTTTCAACATCAGTTTGCACAGATTTAAGTATTAAAGAAAATTGGGGAATTTTTTTTTTTTTGAAAAACTTTTCTTATAGTTTGTTTGTTAAGGTCCGAACTGTACTGTTCCTGTATCTGAGCCCGGAGGAACCTGGGATTTGAACCCTCAGCTAGGTCCTAGTGATAGTATTGGGCAGGCGGCAACCATCTTTATATTTATCATTACAGCTGCCGCCACGGTCATCGTTATCGTTCTTGTCGTCTGCTATCGACGAAGGAAGGACACAGATTGTTAATCAAGATGAATATATTTCGCAAATTACAATTTAAAACTAAAACTAAAGGGATTTTTCTGATATTTAGCTAACATAAGTTTAACCACGAACTGTTGAGCCCACGAAAGAAAAAATAAAAAGTCGTTTTCCTACCTTATGTAGTTAAAACTAAAAACATGTAAAGATTATACTTACATAATTTCATTAAACTAAAAAGAAAAAAAACATTAAACCAAGCATACACTCAAGAAATAAGAAATAGTAAACTGGGATGGAATTTTTGTTTATTCTGTTGCCATTTTTTAACTGAAAACCTTTATTAATTAATGTTGAGTGTCATTAATCTTGTGATGGTCTATATTTTGACCTGTGTACCTTAATCATAGGTTTCACAGACTAAAAACTGAGTTTGCACATGTTCACTACAGAGCTAACCCTAGTACCCAACAAGGTAAGTTAAAGTAACATATTTGCCTGCACGTTATTTATTTATTTTTATTTATTTTGTTATTAATTTTATATTAATTTTATATTATTTTTATATTAATTTTTTGTTTGTTCGCCCTTGTAGCTGAAGAGTATGATGAAAACCTGTATTCTTTGCCAGGGGAACCACTCCCTGGTCCTACCTCTCTAGGACCCCCTCCATATACCCCAAGTGGTCCCCCTCCCTATTCTAACTCGGAGAACCTGAACTCGAAAAGGGAGTTAAAGGAAGAGCATGTATATGAGAATGAAGGTATAAAAGATTCGAAGGGGGAAAGGAGGGCAAATGCAAATTTTTATTAGTTACAAATAAAGCTTTTACAATAATTTTAAAACTGTTGATCCCTGGCCCTGCATGGTTAACTTTTCGCATTATTAATTTTAATATTTTATTTTTCTTTTAATTCAATTTATAATTTTTCATTTGTTTTCACTTTTTGTTAAACTTTATTTGTTCATCATAGTTACTAGTTAGTCATAAGAAATAAAAATGTGAATATTTTTATTTTAGATGGACATCATTTTGATAATCCTGTATACACAACATACCGTCCCTCATCACCTCTAACAAATATAGAACCTTTAAATAATATCAGGTTGGTTTCATGTTATTTTTTTTTTGAAAATGTATCAATGTAATTGTAAATGTATTTATTGACTAAAAAATATTTTTTTAAATTGATAAAACTTCATGTAGTAAATAATCAAATAATCTAAAGTGTTTAAATATTTAGGCTGAACAACCGGTTAAATAATAAGAATCGTTTGAATGAACGAGAACGTGCCGCGGCGTGCGCGCATTATCTTGAGGAAGACGACCTGTCTGATTGTACCAGTGAAAAAGGTAAAAATGCTTTTAGTTGTTGTTGTACAACTGATATTTGCTCTGTTTTAATTTTTGCAATTTGATAAAATTATGATATTTGCATTAATGCATATATATTTGCAGAGGGAACTTCAAATATATATTAATTTTCTCTGTGTATCTTCCTATTTATCTGGTATCTTGTTGCCTATATTCTAATCTGATAGTGATAAGGGGAAACTCAGAGATTTCTTCTCATTGTATATTGTACAACCAGATGGATGAGTCAGGGGTGTAAGTATAAATAAGTATTCGGAATAGANGTGGGGGGAATAATCAAATATAAGATTTCAAATAAAAAGTACTACAATGAACACAATACTCAGTACACAGTACACACCCCTGAGATGATTACAAGAGTATATTATCAATACAAGGACTCCTCATTATACCAGGACGTTAGGTCATTAATCTTCAACATTCTTTATATATGCATCACTGCACAATACAACTAGGCAGTGATGCAACTTTCAGGTATGCATCATAGTCACTATTAACAGAATTAAATATACATGTGATTTTGCATGCATCATACCATAAAAGATCTGTGAACACTGCACAGTGATGCTGATTAACATGTTAAGAGAATGCAGGATAAACTACGTATGTTATAAGTTATTTATCACTTATCACTTTTTAATAAAATTGAACATACAGTGGTACAAGTCCGTACAACTTCTTTTGTATTTGTATATGAAGTTTTTATTCACATATTATCAATAATGGATGCATTAATATAGTAAAATACAGTTTACATCCAATCATCATTACAGAATATAATTTTACCATTAATACATCATGACAGATGGTAATAAAACTCAATGTGCACCAATTATGATTGCATCCAAAAGAATAGAATGCAAAGTAGATTTTTACTACTTTTGGAACACAAGTTCACAACAAGATGAATTGTATTGTATTTTTCTTAAAGAAAAGTTTACATAAACATCCCTTTTCCATAAATACAATTTACTGAAATACTGACGGTTCTTATAGTACTAACTGTCCCTCTATAATTTCCATTACATACAACCCCTTAAAAAAAGTCAGACCCTTCCTATCCTCCTTTCTTAAATCCTATAAACTTTATTTTTTAGCAACATGTCCTATATATAGAGTATGGTTCTATTAACCTTTACCCTGACATCCATTGGCAATCTTGAATCAATTCCCTCTCTATGATCAACCCCCTCTCCCCTCTTTGCTCACTCCCTTCCAGTGATCAAGAATGATTAACTTAAGTTGGCACCTTAACACTATATAGGATACTTGGAAAATAAACCTATCTATCCATCTATTCATCTATTCATTCATTTATCTATTTATCTATCTACTCCATCTATTTATTAATTTATCTATCTATTCATTTAGTTAGTATACTATTTATCTACCAGTTTATTTATCAATGTATTCATTTACTTGGTATCCTTCATATAATAAATTTAATTATCAATCTATTCATCTATTCATTCATTTATCTATCAATCTATTTAGTTATTATACTATAAATCTATGAATTCATTTATTAACGTTTTCATTCATTTAATTATCTGTTAATTACCTCGGTATCATATTTATTTGTGAATTCATTTATCTTTCTATTCATTTATGTATTAAATTATCTTACTTTTCATTCAGTAAGTATTCTATCCATCTATTTATTCATTTTTCATTTATCTTTTTACTAATTTTACCGTGCTGTAGGAGTAGGATGCAGTGGTTCCGGGTTCTCCTACTCTAGTTTGCACAGGAAGAAATGTGAAGATGCTGACTATACAAATCCAAACATTAACTTATACAACGCTATAGACAATATCAAGGTAATTAAAGCATAAACAATATCTGAATCTACAAAATTAACTATCAATGACTCGATCAGGAAAATTTAATTGAATTGCTAAAAATAGGTAGTTTTGAATCTAATAACATTCTTTCTCATAAACCTTTATTATTTTATTTAATGCATTCAAATACTTAAAATTATGTTGTAAATCTATCTATCATTTATTATTTATGATTTTAAAACCCCCTTTTTTACATGGATTTCTCCCCCTCCTCCCACATTCTTCCTCATAAACCTTTATTAATTTATTTAAATGCATTCAAATACTTAAAATTATATTGTAAATCTATCTATCTATCTTACTTTTTATGAACTGTCTTTCTGCCTTTATATCTATCTATCTACCTATCTATCTATCTAGGATAACCGTGAGCTAGAAAATGTATATGATGAGATTAGTAAGGGTCTGGTCAATAAACAAACTGCAGGTAAGCATTTGCACTTTTATCTTCAAACTTATGTGAACCCCCCNGTTTCAGGCGCTTTATTTACAAAAGTGTTCTGAGTTCTGACGTTTTTTCAATTTTTTTTCTAAAATCATTTTGCTGCTCTAATATTATAAACATTGTTTTTTTACTTTCCATGTATGTTTCAATTGTCACTTCATTTAAAAGAGAAACAACATGCTCGAAATTATCGTTGTTAGAGCAAAAATTACGAAGATTTCTTTGGGTTTCAGGCTGAATTGGTTCTTTTTAGAATGACAAGGATTTATGCAGCAGAGTCAAGGCATGAAAGTGACAGAATTTATCTCTGTTCAAGATAGAAATTTTTTTTTGAAATTAGTTCGACAGTCACTTTAAAAAGTTTACAAATTCATTGTTTTTTGGTTTCCTAAAAAATCCAACCGTCTGTTGACTTATTTTTCAGCCTTTTCTTGGCAGCTTCTGACATAACTATTACTCTACTGTAGATATAGAGGAGAGACTGGGAGAAGGTTTAGGATACGATAGATTGGATTTTAGTAGACCTCAAACTGATCTTAGACCTCAGTATCAATCTACAAACACGCTCAAGTCCCTGGGGTGAGTTGAAACTATTTAACTATTTACTCTGAGATATAATTTCATGCTAAACCCATAATATATTTATGCTGAAAGTCGAGTCAAAGGAACTGAGTTTTTGCCACAAACTTAACTTTTCTAATCCCAATATCTTTTCAACCTGATAGTGTAACTTGGACTATTTGATCCAAGAGAATGCATAGTTTTAAATATCGTACGACAGACATTGGGTTGCAAAGGATTATAATATCCGAGTTTGTGGAGTGAACTCGTTTCCCATTGTTAAGGTATGTGATACAAATAAATAAAATGAAAGCATCAAAAATTAAACGAAATGATGATTTATCATCTTTTTAAAAAGGAAGTGATCATCTTCAGCTTTTATTTTCTAATTACTTTATCTCCGCAACATGACGATGTATACCTTTGATATTTCAAAAGTTTATTGTTGCATATAGAAGAAATCGGAGTTTGAAATATCAAAGATCCGGTTGCAGAGATATAAGGATTAGAAAATATTTGGGAAATAAATGTTGGCGGTATTGTATTAAGATTATATCTAGGTCTCGAGATAATCTGGCGGATAGTGGTGTTTCCTCAACCCAGAGCACTGGAACTGTTCCTTGGTCATCTCAGAGTAATACAGGGAGTAAGCTTACATCTGCACGGAGTACCAGCACAGTTCCTTGGTCCTCAGGGAGCAGTACAGGGAGCAGATTATCTTCTGCTCGAAGTACGGGAGCAGTCCCGTGGGACGAGGAAGGAGCAGGAGTGGATCAGGTTCAGGGAGCAGCTTTTCAATCCTTTCGAGGAGATCCAGGCAGTTCAAACCAGAGAAGGAGTTTACACGAGGGAACCCAGACTCTGGAGCGACGGAGCAACCGGAGAGATGGTTCTGAGAGATTAAAACGACGGAGTAAACCTGTTCAGATGTCAGAATTAGTGCGATTTAACCCTGGAGAAGGTTGTCTAACTCCAGCACTACCCGGAGCTGAACTTGAACCCGAAGGATGGGAAGGATCAGATATCTTGTGATAAACCTGTGATAAACAGTGAACTCTCTAAATTGTAGTATTGAACTTGTTCTCAAGTTTAAAGAGACAAACCAGCAATAAGAGTTGTGAACCAATACTTCTGCTTCATATATATATACAGTACATATTCGATAGACATATTTTATCAGTTTACTTCTTTATCCAACAAATATTAGCAGTATTGCAGATATCAGTTTAATAATAATATAGAACTATAATAGAGATAATTTAATGAAGTGAAATGGATTGAATTGCTTATCTGCTCCAATATACCATTTGAACCTGTCCTGTGCAGTTGTGAATACCTAGAGTTAAATTATCTAGGTTTCTAACAAGATAATTGAAATCAACCTCAACTTATATATACTCTGTGAGGAATACACCCAACTGCAGGGTGAGCTCAAAGAATACAAAAATTAAGAAATTAAAATTGTTTTCATCCATGTATTGTATATCATAATTAACCAATTTTAAATTGTACAAAAAGGTCTATAAATTGTAAATAATGCCAAGCATAAACTTAATATTTCTCAAACTTCAGATTATTTTATATCAAATATAAACAATCCAGCACAGCCTGTTACTTGTTATGGTTGGTGCAGGGGAGTTCTTCCCCCCGTTGTAACATTTTATCTTATAGTGATTTATCATGTCTAAAACAAATTCCGGAGGGGGTTTTTAAATATACTTTTAATCGGTTTCTCGAGAAATATGTAACTTTGGCTGAACAATTTTGTTCAAGGCGCTTTATCGACAGTTGTTAGAGTTGACCAAGATTTAGTTTATTATGTTCAAATAACCCTTTTTCTCTTAAATTTTTTTCTCTAAAATGTCAAAATTTAAAGAGCTTCTCATTTCTGTCTAGAACCCCCTCTCCCCTAGATATTTTTAAAATTTTGCTCCTGATAAACTTAAAGCTTGCACTTTTATCGATCGTGATCTTTGAAAGAGTTTTCTAGATTAATAATTTTAACTTTTTTAAATTTTATTTGATTTTGTTTAAGTATTAGTTAAATTAACAACCAACATAAGACTTTATAATGAACTGTGAACATTTATAATCATTTTTATTGTTTGAAATTCGTGGTTTCTCTTATATTTTGTAAACAATCCTGTTAACACTCAGATATTGTAAGCTGTAAATTTACAAAATGTCGTGTATGTACTTTCTAAATAACTCCTTCATGAGCTTTTCAACATACAATACAACCCGATCTAGTTGATTCATTTTTCTTGTGAAAATCTATATATTTTCCAAGTAATTATTATAAATGAGTTTTTATGGTTTTGGTTTTGGCAAATGTATTAAGATTAAACTGTAAAACGTATGGCCTGAAAAAAAATTCTTCCGATATTTTAACAATTATTTATTAAACATTAAATAAATCTGCAGATACAGTAGATATAAATATAATATATATAAATAGTTTAATTATCAAAATTTAAATTGTACGATACAAATCCTTTTATTGTTATTATTAGTAAATAAAATACTGTATACTGGAAGTATCTGAAAAATAAAAGAAAGGTAAAAAACTAATTTGAACTCGTTTACTTTTTTCGTACATTATGGATTCAGAAACCCCTAGGATTATACATAGATTGGAGAAATTACTCCTTGTAAGATGTTAAGAGAAGCTAATTAGGAGTATGTATAAAGATAACTATATCCCTGTAGGTGAGAATCAGGGCTAATTAGGAGTATGTATAAAGATAACTATATCCCTGTAGGTAAGAATCAGGGCTAATTTCTAGATGAATTACATATGTTTTCAAAATCTAATCAGAAGTTTCTGTGTTGCAGCCAAACTGAAGGGAAACTAATTCAATTTATTTTTTATTCTATGTTTTCTCATCAAGTTATCCAATAAATGTCAAACTTGGTCTTTTTTAATAAAATATTTACAACTATAAGCATCAAACTTTTTTAATACACAAACGAACATTTTTTCTAGATTATTATGGCATCAAATCTAGCATTTTTCTAGATTATTATGGCATCAAATCTAGCATTTTTTCTAGATTATTATGGCATCAAATCTAGCATGGTCAACATTTATTCACTCGAAGGGAATTTGACGGACATCAAAAGATCTAACTGGATGAATTAGTTAAAGCACAGAAATCCAGGCAGCTATGAAAAGGTGAAACAATTGGTTTAAGATTTTTTCCCACAAACTCATCCATACTTTTTTGTAGCCCTAGACTTGGTATTTTTAGCAAGGTTTTAATTTTTTTCTGGATCAATTTGTACCCGTAAAGGCCATGCGGAACCTTTTCTGAAGCTGTTAAGAATTATAAACCTGTCAAAAAACTTTTGGAAATTAACGTGGAACATTCCTTACTCTAATTACAGATAATTTTATCTCCCCTAGATGGTTTACAGAGCTGTGTGCAACCTGCTGAAAAATAAATAAATAAAAACGTGGATTAATCGTTCTAAGGGGTAGATTTATTTGGACATAAGGTAAAAAAGGTTCAGCCTTTGATTTCCAAAAGTTTTTAATTGTCCAGGATTCTTATCAGCTTCAAAAGCAAAATTCTTATATAGTTTCGCTCGAGAGCTGGCAACATTTGGCTGAATCACAAGGAAGTTTTAATAATTGGCCCGGTGCGCCTTTTCTTTTTAAGTTTTGATTTCTAACAAATCAAAAATTACAAGTTAACAAATGAAAAAAGAGAATCTGTTAATTGACACCTTTTCTTTTTAATGTTTATGTGCATCAATGATGTTTAAAAGCTTGGTACAAATCCATAATTAAAATCGAACGTCGTCTTCATTATATTGATATATACGACGACGACAACGTACCGATAATAAAAATAAATCCCAAATATATCCAACTGACTTTCTAAATCTGCGCATAGTCCCTTTTTGTGGATTATATAGATTATACGAAGGAGAGAGAATATGATGAAGTTTGGAGGAGATAAAACCTTAACTTTGTTATCTACAATGTATGGAATAATGGAACAAGGTTGGGAGTAAAGGAGATAATTAATAAACTTGGAAACACATGGTTTGATGTTCAGATAATATGCATAACCATATCACTGCTTATATTCACAAGAGTTACTATTTGAATCCTTTCTGTATCGAGATCGAGATCAAATTTAAATCAGAATATTGTTAATTGTTTCTTTTAAAAGCTTTCCTGTTTTCTATGGTTCTTAGGTTTTCTTGGTTTTCCTATTCCCTGCCCCGGAATTACTCTGTTTCCTACTCCAGAATTAGCCTGTTTCCTAATCCTAAATTATCCTGTTTCCTACTCCTGAATTCTCTTGTATCCCACACCTAAATTATGCTATTTCCTACTCCCGAATTATCTTGCCTCCAACGCCTGAATTAACTTGTCTCCTACTCCCGAATTATCTTGTCTCCTACGCTTGAATTATCATGTCTCCTACTCCTGAATTATTCTGTGACATACGCGTGAATTATCTTGTTTCCTTCTCTTGAATTATCTTTCTCCTACTCCCGAATTATCTTGCCTCCTACTCCCGAATTATCTTGTCTCCTACGCCTGAATTATCTGGTTTCCTACTCCTGAACTATTCTGTTACATACTGCTGAATTATCTTGGCTCCTACTAATAAATTATCCTATTTCCTACTCCTGAATTATCTTGTCTCCTGCTGCTGAATTAACTTCTTTCCTACTTCAGAAAATTATTCTGTTACCTACTCCTAAATTATCTTGTTTCCACCTCCTGAATTATCTTGTCTCCTACGCCTGAATTATTTTGTTTCCTACTCCTGAATTATCTTGACTCCTACGCCTGAATTAACTTGTTTCCTACTCCTGAATTATTTTGTTTCCTACTCCTGAATTATCTTATCTCCTACTTCCGAATTATCTTGTCTCCTACGCCTGAATTATCTTGTCTCCTGCTCCTTAATTATTCTGTTTCCTACTCCCGAATTATCTTGTCTCCTACGCCTGAATTATCTTGTTTCCTACTACTGAATTTTTCTGTTTCCTAATAAGAATTATTCTGTTTCCTTCTACTGAAATATTTTCTTTTCTACTCATGAGTCCTGTTTTATACTTCTTGATTATTCTACGAGATTGTCCTGTTTTCTATAACATTCGTATTATTCTACGAGATTGTCCTATTTTCTACATCTTGATTACTCTACGAGATTGTCCTGTTTTATACTTCTTGATTATTTTACGAGATTGTCCTGTTTTCTTCTTCCCGGCTATTCTACGAGATTATCCTGTTTTCTAGTTCTTGATTATTCTGCGAGATTGTCCTGTTTTCTACATCTTGATTATTCGACGAGAGTGTCCTGCTTTCTACATCTTGATTATTCTACGAGATTGTCCTGTTTTATACTTCTTGATTATTCTAAGAGATTGTCCTGTTTTCTACATCTTGATTATTCTACGAGATTGTCCTATTTTCTACATCTTGATTATTCTACGAGATTGTCCTGTTTTCTACTTCTTAATTATCCTACAAGATTGTCCTGTTTTCTACATCTTGATTATTCTAAGAGATTGTCCTGTTTTCTACATCTTGATTATTCTGCGAGATTGTCCTGTTTTCTACATCTTGATTATTCGACGAGAGTGTCCTGCTTTCTACATCTTGATTATTCTACGAGATTATCCTGTTTTCTACTTCTTGATTATTCTACGAGATTGTTCTATTTTCTATAACATTCGTATTATTCTACGAGATTGTCCTGTTTTCTACATTTTGATTATTCTACGAGATTGTCCTGTTTCATACTTCTTGATTATTCTACGAGATTGTTCTGTTTTCTACATCTTGATTATTCTGCGAGATTCTCCTGTTTTCTACTTCTTGATTATTCTACGAGATTGTCCTGTTTTCTACATCTTGATTATTCTGTTTTCTACATCTTGATTACTCTACGAGATTGTCCTGTTTTCTACTTCTTGATTATTCTACGAGATTGTCCTGTTTTCTACATCTTGATTATTCTACGAGATTGTCCTGTTTTCTACATCTTAATTATCTGATATAGTTGTCCACTGTTAAAGTTAATTAAAGTAAGAAATGTTAGTTCAGAGAATCAATCTTAGAGGTCTCCCTCTCTAGTTAAGGAGGATTGAACACGAGGTCTCCCTCTCTAGTCAAGGAGGATTGAACACGAGGTCTCCCTCTCTAGTCAAGGAGGATTGAACACAAGGGGTGATATCTTTTTTAGAGTAAAGAGCAATTTTAACAAAAGAAAAGAAGTATTTTGCGAATACAATTTTAAAAAGTCTCAAGCCTTTGGCGTATATGCATTTAGTGTAGTTCATAAGTAGAAATGATGCAAAATAATATGTTAAAATAAGAGACCTTTTAAAAATACAATTTTTTGTAATGGCTTACCGAATAATATCACTACAAGAAGTCACTCTTTTCAGTATTCATTTCATGATTTTCGATCTTACTGCAAACATTTTCTGTTCGTCACGTAAAGTGTTAAAAATGAGAAAATGAAGATTTTCCCACGAAAATGT